GGAATTCGTCTTCAGACTACAGACGTGGCGAGTGATTCGGTCGAGGAGAGCGCCGGCATCTTCCCGCAGGCCGGCGCTACGGAAATCTATCGGCTGAGTCTCGATCATCGCAGCAATCTGCGTCGCCAGAGTTTTTCCTGTCTTGATTATGGGAAAACCAAAGACAGTGAGTATCCGTTATGAAACACAATTCTTTACAATTCTTTACGTCGCCGAAACGACATATCTCTTGATCTTATATCTCGACTTGCGAACGATGTCTAAGACAGCTCGTCTGACGACCTCAATATGATGGGGCGCCGCTACGCAGGCTGGCAATCAAGATCGGAGGATGGCGATGATTCAGAGTTGGAAACAGCGCCTCATCGGAGGAATTGCGCTCACGACTGCCATCGTGCTCGGCTCGACCATGGCGGCGACATCCGTTCGGGCCGATCACGCACGGTCGTGGGAGGGAGCGGTCGTGGGTGGCGTCATCGGCGGATTGATCGGTTCGACAACCGGCAAGAGGCACGACCGCCTGGCCGCGGTCAGCATCGCCGCGGTGCTGGGAACCCTCTACGGCGGTCAGTTCACCACCCATCATCGCCACGCGGGATGGTATCACCGCCCGTCGCACCATCGACGCCAGTGGCAGGGCCAGCGGGTTCGCCAGCAGCCCTGGTACGTGCATCCTCAGCGGTACCATGAACGCCAGTGGCACCAGCGGGTTCACCAGCGGCCCTGGTATGTGCATCCTCAACGGCACCAGCAACGCCAGTGGCACGGCCAGCGGTTTCATGAGCAGCCCCGGTACGTGCATCCTCAACGGCACCAGCATCGCCAGAGGCACAGCCAGCGGGTTCATGAGCAGCCCCGGTACGTGCATCCTCAACGGCACCAGCATCGTCATGACCACAGATGGTAGCGGTCGCGTGCGCTCACGCCCTGATTGAGCCGGTTCGGCCTATTCGGGGTGAAAGGCGATCTCGCCGTACCAGGCGCGGGCGCTCTGCCCGCAGTTGTCCGAATCCGTCATGACCGCAATGCCTTCGAGCTCCTCCACCTCCATCCCGAACAGGCGGCGGAAGTCGGCGCGAACATCCCGTCTGTGAGTGCGCCAGGTGCCGGCGTCTCCATCGCCGGAATCGACCGCGATCATCATGACTTTGGAGGTGAACGGGTTGGGCCAAGCGTCGCCGATCTCCGATCGATTTGCCCACACATAGTTGACCGCTCGCGGCAATCCGAACATTCCCTCTCCGGGCGCGACGACATAGACCCGGGCGGCGAAGTCGTCGCCGTCCTTGATCCGCTCGTCCCCGACCGCGAGCGGCTTCTCGATGCGCCAGCTCCATTCCAGGATCGGCGTCGCCGCGAGATCGATCTCCCGCTCAAGAAAGAGGCTCGACGCCGTGGAAGCACTGTCGGCCTCGAGCACACGCCGCCCGTCGAGCTCGACGACGCGGTATTGGGTCTCGCCCTCGAATTCCTCGATCTCCCAGTCCCCGCTGTCGCCAGGCGATGGCCACTCCAACACAAGCGGCTCGGCGTGCGCCGGTAGCACAACCAGCAAGAAGGCAAACAGAATGAGCGCCCAGCGCCTCATGACGCCTGAACAGGGTCTGAGGAGCTCGGCCCTGTTTCCATCCCAATTCGTCCGCCTGCCATCCTTGATCGAGAGCGTCTGCCAAGGGGGCGCATGAACTGAGTCTGTCGCAATGCCGAACCGCGGGCAACGGCTCCGAACGCACCGCCGGCCCAGAATTCTTGGCAAGGTCCGGGTCTCCCAATACTCCGGACCATGGTGCGGTGCGCAGCGCGCGGCGGGTGCGTCAGGATTGCGCCATGCAGTGCACGAGCGAACCGCCCGCACCCCACGTCATTGCCGCCGCTTGTCCCGGGGAATCCCACTTATCCCAGTTAATCCCACTTAATCCCGGCGAATCCCGCACAAGAATTAACCTTGGCCTGAGGTGGGACGCAGAACCGGACGGCGGCAGTGCCGAGACGTGCGGGCTAGCCGGGCGCGTCCTCCGCGTCCTTTCCCATCAGCCGTACCCGCGCGCCGGCCAGCAGGTCGCGGAGCTTCGCGCGGATCGCCCAGAGGCACACCAGAGAGGGCAACACCATCAGCGCGGTGATCACGAAGAAGGTTCCCCAATCGCCCTCCAGCCAGTCCACCAGCTCGCCGGAGGAGGCGGCGAGGAGCGTCCGGCCCGCCGTGCCGAGCGAGGCGAGCAGCGCGTACTGGGTGGCGGTATAGGTCCTGTCCACCAGCATCGAGATGAAGGCGACGAAGGTGACCGTTGCGAACGCGCTCGTGAGGTCGTCCATCACGACCGCTGCCGCGAACAGCACCTCCGACTTTCCGGACCACGCCAGCAGGGCGAACATGAGATTGGTGAGCGCCATGGCGATCCCGGAGACGAACATCGCACGGACGAGGCCGATGCGAATCGCGACGAGGCCGCCCAGCACCGTGAAGCCCACAGTGACGATCCAGCCGAGGCCCTTGGAGTAGAGCGCGATGTCGGACTTGGTGAAGCCTATCTCCGTGTAGAAGACGAGCGACATGCGCCCCATGAAAGCTTCGCCGATCTTGAACAGGAAGACGAAGCCCAGCACCGCGGCGGCAATCGCGACCCCGTTCTTCACGAAGAAGCGCATCAGGGGGGCCACGGCCGTGCCGCCGAGCCAGGCGGCGGCACGTCCGAGCGGGCCGGACATGCGCAGGCGGGAGGCGATTCGCTCCTCGTCCTCGGCCTGGGCGGCGATGCGCTCCGTCGCGGCGGCCTCGCGGACGAACAGGAGGCCGGCGTTGCAGAGGACGACCACGATGCCCAGCACGAGGAACGTCGCCTGCCAGTAGTTCTCGATGCCTGCGTTCTGGAACCCCTCGGCCGTTTCCAGAGCGACGATGCCGCCGAGCTTGAAGCCGCTCCACCAGCCCACGACCGCAACGGCAGCACCGGCGGCCATCGCCTCGCTCTCGGTCTTTCCGATCTGCTCGATTCGGAGCGCGTCGATAGCGATGTCCTGGGTCGCGGAGGCAACGGCGATGGCGAGGCCGACGGCAATGACGGAACCGAGGCTTTCGGAAGGGTCCAACGCGCTCCACAGGACGAGACACACCAGCACTGCGGCCTGAAGGACGAGAATCCAGGCACGCCGCTGGCCGAGTCGCTGCGAAAGCCACGGCAGCCGGACACGATCGATGAGCGGGGCCCAGAGAAAGTTGAACGCGTAGACGCCGAAGATGAGGCCGGCCCAGCCGATCGTGCTGCGGCTGAGGCCGTCCTCCGTCAGCCAGAGGGTGAGGCTGCTCCCGATGAGCACCCAGGGGAAGCCGCTGATGATCCCGAGAAGGAGGATGCGGGCCATCCGCCGCTCGAAATAGACGGCGAGCGAATCCGCGAGTCCATGCACGACGTCCCCCAGGCGACTCGGTGCGCGATCGGGGCAGACCATACCGGCACGTTCCGCGCCCGGCCAATGACATGCCCCCACTTGCGCGCAAGCGCCTGGAAATGGGCTCCGGCGCTATGGCGCGGGCGGCGGCCACGGGGTATGTCGGCGCCAACCGAAAGCGAACGAGAGCGCGGAGGCGACTCCATGAAACTTGAAGGGATCAGAGTGCTGGATCTCTCCCGGTTTCTGCCGGGTCCGCATCTGGCGATGATGATGGCCGATCACGGCGCGGACGTGATCAAGATCGAGGACACGAAGAGCGGCGATCCCGCGCGCGTCATTGGGCCCGCCGAGGGCGGCCACACGGTCTATTTCCGCAATGCAAACCGGGGCAAGCGGAGCCTCGCGGTCGATCTCAAGAGCGAGGCCGGGCGCGAGGCCTTCATGCGCCTCGCCGAGACCGCCGACGTGATCCTCGAGACGTTCCGTCCCGGCGTCGTCGACCGCCTCGGGATCGGTTACGAGGCGGTGTGCGCCCGCGCACCGCAGATCGTCTACGCCTCCATCTCCGCCTTCGGCCAGTCGGGACCCTACCGCGACCGGCCGGCCCACGACCTCAGCGTCAATGCGCTCGCCGGAATCGCCAGCCTCAGCGTCGATGGCGACGGCAAGCCGGCCATGGCGTGCCTGCCGCCGTCCGACATGGGGGGCTCGCTCATGGCGCTGGCGGGAATTCTCATGGCCCTGCTGCGCCGCCAGACCACCGGGCGCGGCGACTACCTGGACCTTTCCATGTTCGACACGGTGGTGTCATGGACGGCGCATGTGGCCGGCCGCGTGTTCGCCGACGGCTGCGCGCCGGATCCTGCAGCCGAGCGCACCCAGGGCGGGGCCGCGTTCTACCGCCCCTACCGCACCAAGGACGGCCGCTACATCACCCTCGGCGGCGGCGAGATGAAATTCGTCGTCAACTTCCTCGAAGCCGTGGGGCGGCCGGATCTGATCCCCCTCGGCCGCGAGCCCGCCGGCCCGGCGCAAGCGCTGCTCCACGCCTTCCTCGAAGAGACCTTTGCCCAGCGGACCCAGGCCGAGTGGGTCGCCTGGTTCGCCGGCCGCGACATCTGCTTTGCGCCGGTCCTCGACCTCAAGGAAGCCTTCGACGATCCCCACCTCGCCGCGCGCGGCATGCGCGAACGGGACAGCGATGGCGCCTCCCACCTCGGCATCCCGATCAAGTTCGGGAGGAACCCGGAAGGATCGCGCCGGAGACGCCTGCCCTCGGCCAGCACAGCACCGCGATCCTGCGCGAGATCGGTTACGACGAAGCCGAATGCAGGGCGCTCGTCCGCGACGGCATCATCCGGCAGTCGGCGTGATTCTAAGCGGCGGCCGCGCCCTGCCCCTCACCCAGCAGGCGGATAATCTCCGCCGTGGGCTTCACATGGCAGAAGTTGCCGTCGAGATATTCGACCGCGTTGGCATGGCCGCTCGGCGACATGGCGGCGCAGGAGTCCTCGGGCATCAGGCAGCGGAAGTCGAGGTCGCCCGCGAGCCGGATCGTGCCTTCGACGCAGCTGTTGGTGAAGATCCCGCTCACCACGATGGTGGTGATTCCCTTCACGCGCAGCAGATGCTCGCAATTGGTCGAGGGGAAGACCGCCGAGCCGCTCTTGGTCAGCATGATGTCGCCCTCTTGCGGCACGAGCGGCGCAAGGATCTGTGCGTCCTTCGAGTCGACAGTCGTGACCACACCGAAATGACGGTGGCGCCAGGTCTGGTCCGAGCCGTCGCCCACCAGCGAGGCGCAGCGCGTGTAGATCACCGGCGCCCCATGCGCCCGGAACGCCGCGATGAGCTGCACCAGATTGGGCACCACCACGCGGTCGATCCTGTCGAGGTAGTAGGAGAGGTCGTCTTCGAGGCCGGCCTCGATGATCCGCTTGCAAAGGCCGTAGTCCCGGTGTGCCTGCTGGTAGGTCATGTCGATGACGATCAGGGCTGTCTTGTCCGCCTTGACCGGGAACTCGGGAATGCGCGCGAAGCTCCACCAGGCGCTCCACCCCTCCTTGACGTGCCGCGATCGCCCTCGCCCATCGCACACCTCATCTGCTCGCCGACGGCTACCAAAGCACCATAGCGCGCCGCAGAGGCTGCGCCGACACCAATTTGATGAGCCGGGATTCGCCCCGGTTCGTGCCATAGTGGCGCCGTGCCGGCACCCTCGGAGCCGTGCCACCTGTTATCCGCCCCGGCCTCCGTCCGGCTCTCTGCCCTCTCGACAGCATCGCGTGATCTTGAGCCAGCCATCGATGATCCTGCCGCGCCGGTTGACCGAGCTTCTGGGCGATCCCCACTTTTTGCGCCTCTGGCTCATCGGCCTCTTCAGCATGGGCTCCCGCTGGCTGGAGATGCTTGTGGTGGGCATCTTCGCGTTTGAGACGACGGGATCGCCCGTGCTGGTGGCGTTGCTCGTCATCCTGCGCATGCTGCCGCTCGCCGTGTTCGGCTCCATCGTCGGAACCTTCGCCGACCGCGTGGCGCCGCGCTTCCTGCTTTACGCCTCGCTCGTAACGGCGACGCTGGTCTCGCTCGTCGTTCTCGGCCTCGCGCTCTCGGGCATGGTCGCCTATTGGCACATAGCGCTTGCGACCTTCCTCTCCGGCGTCGTTTGGACCACGGACATGCCGGTCAGGCGGCGTCTGATCGGCGATGTCGCCGGGCCCGAGCGGATCGCCGCCGGCATGAGCCTGGACAGCGCCACGAGCAATGCGACGCGCTTGATCGGCCCGCTCTTCGGCGGGTTGCTCTACCAGTGGCTCGGCCTCGGCGGGGCCTTCGGCCTGGCGGCGGCCCTCTACGCGATTTGTCTGATCATAACGCCGGGAGTGCCCAAGGCGTTCCTCGCCTCTGGCGTCGGCCAGCGCTCCGCGAGACTCCTGGGCGAATTCGGCGATGGCTTCCGCTACCTGGCCCGGGAAGCGGAGGTCCGTCGCATCCTGTACGTCACGGTGATCTTCAACATTTGGGGCTTCCCCCTTCGTCTCGATGATCCCGGTCATCGGCACGGAGAAGCTTGGCCTGAGCGCTGCTGCCATCGGCGGCCTCGCCGCGCTGGAAGGCGGCGGCGCTTTCGCCGGCGCGCTGCTGATCGCCACCTTCGGCCCACGGCCGGGATGGTACCGACGCCTCTACTTCTTCGGGACCGCCAGCTACTCCGCGTTCGCCTTCGTCGTCGGCTGGATGACGGAAACCGCGCCGATGGCCGTGGTCATCTTCATGGCCGGCTTGGGCGCGGCCGGGTTTTCAACCATGCAGACCACGCTGATCTACGGGATCGCGCCCCCGGAGATGCGGGGCCGCCTGCTCGGAATCCTCTCCCTCACAATCGGCGCAGGCGTGATCGGCTTCACCAATATTGGCCTCATGGGCGAGCTCTTCGGCGGTGCCAACGCGGTGCGCATCGTCGCGGCGGAGGGTCTGGTCGCCGCCTTCCTGCTCGGCCTCCGCTGGCCGCGACTTTGGCGCGACGGCGGTGGCCCGTAACCATTGCAGAAAGCAATGCGAACGGCGTATGGTGGCCACGCTCGCGGACGAGCGCGGGAGGCCCCAAAGCGGAAGGCGAGGCCGCGGTGGAGATCGAGGAACGGACAGAGGGAACGGCAGTCGTCGTCTCCCTGAACGGTCGGCTTGACGGAGTCAGCGGGCCGGACCTGGAGGCCAGGATTGCCGCGATCGTCGAGCGTGGCGACGTGCGCGTGGTGCTGGAGTGTGGCCAGATGGCCTATGTCAGCAGCGCCGGCCTGCGTGTCTTGCTTATCAGCGCCAGAAAATGCCAGCAAGGGGGTGGGAAGCTGGCCATCGCAGCCCTGCAACCCGAGTGTCGGTCGGTCATGGAAATGAGCGGCTTCCTGTCGATCATCGAGTGCCACGAAACAAACGAGGCTGCGCTCGCCGCAGTCGCTTGAGACGCCGCTCCCACAGCCTCCGACCCTGCTCCTGACCTCGGGAATCGGTTTCATGCTGACATTCTACGAAGAGATCATGGTGCTCCTTCTCCATGACGAGAACGGCACCTTCCTGCCGGTCAGCGAGCATACCCTCAACCGTGCGCTCACGGGCGCGGTCCTCATGGACCTCACATTTGCCAGCCGGATCGATACCGACCCCGAGCGGCTGGTGGTGATCGATTCCACCCCAACGGGCGATGCACTGCTCGACCGCACCCTGGCGCGGATTGCGGGCGAGAAAGCCACCGCCAACAGCAGAACGTGGATCGAGACGCTGTCTGCCGAGGAGGCATCGGTAGGGCGCTCGGTGACAATTCGGGCGACCGCGCTCGACAAACTCGTGGAGCGTGGCGTTCTGGAGCGGCGGGAAGAGAAGTTCCTGTGGGTCTTTCGCTCCCGCCGCTACCCGACCATCGACGGCAAGGTCGAGCAGGAGGCGAAAAAGCGCATCGCGGATGTGCTGTTCACGGAAGACATTCCCGACCCCAAGGACGTGGCGCTCATCTGCCTCGTCGAAAGCTGCAACATCCTGCCGACGATCTTCTCGAAGAGGGAAATCGACCGTGCTGAGCGGCGCATCGAGCAGCTCCGCAAGATGGACCTGATCGGCCGCGAGATGGCCGGCGCGATCGCCGATATCGAACGCGCAATCGCAATCGCGGCGGCGCACACGTTCTAGTTCGGGGGCCGGCCCAATTCAGCCTTAGCGCTCCGACGATGCAACGCGGCGGGTGAGCCCGCCACGCCAGCGCATGCCCAGGTCGACCTTCAGGCCGAACTGGTCCAACGCCCTGGCCACGGTGTAGTCGACCATCTCATCGATCGATCCCGGCTCGTTGTAGAACGCCGGAACGGGAGGAAAGATCGTCACGCCGAGCCGCGCCAGCTTCAGCATGTTCTCGAGGTGGATGGCGCTGAGCGGCGTCTCGCGAACCATCAGGACGAGCGGCCGACGCTCCTTGATCATGACGTCGGCCGCGCGGTGGATCAGGTTTTCGCTGAGCCCACAGGCGATCGCCGCTAGGCTTCGTGCCGAGCAGGGCGCGATCGCCATGCCGTCGATCGCAGCCGAGCCCGACGACATCAGGGCAGCCATGTCCCCTGCCCCGTAGTGATGATTCGCGAGCGCACGAAGATCGTCGAGCTTCTTGCCGGTCTCGTGCTCCAGCGTCCGCTGGCCCCACTTGCTGACGACGAGATGCGTCTCGACCGGGGTCTCCCTCAGCACTTCGAGCAGGCGCACGCCGTAGACGGCGCCGCTCGCCCCGGTGATGCCGACGATCAGGCTGTTGACCATCGTGCCGTTCCGTCCCCTCAGGCCCGCGCCGCTGTCACTGCTCCGCGCTGGCGAGCCAGAGCGCAAGGAATTGCCCGAGCCACTCATGCACGGTCGCGTGATAGCGAGCGTGGTTTGCGCGCTGTTCCGCCGGCGTCTGCGCGCCGGTCCGCCACAAATCCTCGGCGGGTGGGTCGCTGCCGACCCAGCGCGCCAGCACAGGGTCGTTGACTTCTGGATGGAATTGCAGAGCCCAGGTCGTCGCCCCGTAGCGAAACGCCTGATTCTCGAACACGTCGCGCCGCGCAAGTCGACGGGCGCCGGCAGGCATCGTGAACGCCTCGCCGTGGCGGTGCGCCACGTTGAGCGTCGCGTCGAGGGCCAGGTCTTGGGCTGCGCCTTGTAGCGGCTCGATCGGGTAGTAGCCAAACTCATAAAGCCCGTTCGGGTCGGGGCCCACCGTGGCGCCGAGGGTGCGTGCCACCATCTGGCTTCCCAGGCAGATGCCGAGCAGCGGCACACCGGCCGCCATCACGCGGGGTATCCAGTCCAACTCCGCCCGGACGTAGTCGACGTGATCGTCGTTGGCGCTCTGCGGCCCGCCGAAGCTGACGACACCTCCGAGCGTTTCGACGTCCTCCGGAAACGGCTCCCCCTTGTTTGCCCTGATGATGCGGGACCGCCGCCCCAGGCCGGCGAGCAAATCCGGGACTGCGCCCGCATCGATGGCCGTAACGTGCGTCACGAGCAGCACGGGCGCAGCTGACGGGTCGGGGCTCATCTGCTCATGCCTGAGACGTTCAAAGCGAGACGAGAACGCCGTTCTCAAGCGCAAGCCGCCTGTCCATGCGCTCTGCAAGCGGCACGTTGTGTGTGGCGACGAGCGCGGCGAGCCCGGTCGTGCGGACGATATCGAGCAGCGATGTAAACACCGAGTCTGCGGTTTCGTAGTCGAGGTTGCCGGTGGGCTCGTCCGCGAGCAGCACGGTCGGCGCGTTGGCAATGGCGCGCGCGATGGCGACGCGCTGTTGCTCGCCGCCTGAGAGGCGTGAAGGCCGGTGGCTCTCGCGAGCATCGAGCCCGAGACGGGCCAGCAGCTCACGCGCCCGCTCCCGCGCCGCACGCCTGGAGCGGCCCGCGATCATCTGCGGCAGGACCACGTTCTCCAGCGCCGAGAACTCGGCCAGCAGGTGATGGAACTGATAGATGAAGCCGAGCCGCTCGCGGCGTAGCCTGGTCCTGCGCCGGTCCGGCAATCGCTCGCAGCGCTCGCCCGCGATGGCAACCTCGCCGGCGCGCGGGCGCTCCAGCAGCCCGGCGATCTGGAGCAGGGTCGACTTGCCCGCCCCCGATGGCCCGACCAGGGCGACCATCTCCCCAGGCAGGACTGAGAGTGAGGCACCCTTCAGCACCTCGATAGCGTTGCCTGCCTGATAGAAGGTCTGCACCACCTGGCGGAGCTCGAGAGTAGGCGCGCTACTCATAGCGAAGCGCCTCTACCGGATCGAGCCGCGCCGCCCGCCAGGCGGGGTAAATCGTCGCCAGGAACGAGAGTCCGATCGCCATTGCCGCCACGATCACTACCTCGACCGGATCGATCCGCGACGGGAGCTGCGAGAGGAAGCGGATCTCGGCCGGGAACAACGCAGTGTCGGTCATGCTCTCGAGCCACACCCGGATGCTGTCGATATTGGCGGCGAAGGCGATACCGCCCGCAACGCCGAGAACGGTGCCTGCCAACCCGATCGCCGCGCCGTTCATGAAAAAGATTCGCAAGATCTGTCCGCGCGTCGCCCCCATCGTCCGCAAGATGGCGATGTCGCGGCCCTTGTCCTTCACGACCATGATCAACCCGGCGATGATGTTGAAGGCGGCCACCAGCACGATCAAGGTCAGGATCACGAACATGACGTTGCGCTCGACCTCAAGCGCGTTGACGAACTGCGCATTGGCCCGCCGCCAGTCGACAATCCACCCCAGGTTGCCGATGACCCCCTTCACACCGGCCTCGACCTCCCGAATGCGATCGGGATCGGCGACCGTCAGCTCGATGGCGGTGACCTCGCCTTGTTTCCTGAAGTAGACCTGGGCGAGGTCAAGCGGCATGAAGACGTACGTGGAGTCGTACTCGAACATGCCGATGTCGAACGTCGCTACCACAGGGTAGGCGCGCGAGCGGGGCACTGTACCCATTAGCGTCGATCGACCTTCCGGCGAGAGCAGCGTTATGGAATCGCCGACTCCTACGCCGAGCCTGCGCGCCATGCGGTCGCCGATCAGGACCCCGTCGCCGGCGAAGAAGTCTTCGAGCCGGCCCGCGACGATGTTCTGGGCCAGCAGCGGCCGCGCCTGCAGGTAGCTGTCGCGCACGCCGCGCACCTGGCCGAAGGTGGCCTTGCCGTGCGCCGCCGCGATCACCTGTCCCGTGACGGTGGGCGAGACGGTGACGACGCCATCCACCGCCTTGATGCGCGCCGTGAGCGGATCGAAATCGGTAAAGCCGTCCTGGTAGGCATAGGTGGTCATGTGGCCGTTGAGCCCGAGAATGCGGGTAAGCAACTCCTCGCGAAATCCGTTCATCACCGACATGACGATGATGAGCGTGGCGACACCGAGGAAGATGCCGATGAGCGAAAACGCCGCGATGACCGAGACGAGGCCTTCCTGTCGGCGGGCGCGCAGATAGCGAAACGCGACGAGGCGTTCGAAAGCCGAGAACATGTGCGGGGGCCGCTAGTCCCCGATCAGACGTGCGGAGACCGACTCGAAGGAGAGCGCTTCGGCCTCGCCGCCGGCCCGCGCCTTCAACTCCGCCGTGCCCGACTTGACGCCGCGCGGGCCGATCGCGACCTGCCAGGGCAGCCCGATCAGCTCCATCTCCGCGAACTTGACGCCTGCGCGTTCGTCCCGGTCGTCGTAGAGGACCTCGACGCCCGCCCGGACGAGACGCTCGTAGAGCGCTTCGCACGCCTCGTCGCACGCCGGATCGCCGGCGCGCACGTTGATGAGGCCCACCTTGAAGGGCGCCGCGACCTCCGGCCAGATGATGCCCGCCTCGTCGTGGCTCGCCTCGATGATTGCGCCCGCGAGGCGGGAGACGCCGATCCCGTAAGAGCCCATCTCGACCGCGACCTCGGCGCCATCGCGGATCGGTCACCGTGGCGCCCATAGCCTTCGAGTACTTGGTGCCGAAGTAGAAGATGTGGCCCACCTCGATCCCGCGGCCCTGATAGAGCGCGTCCTCGGGCACCGGACAGGCGGCGGGGTCGTGCTTGTCGTCGGTGGCGGCGTAGAGCCGGGTCCACTCATCGACGATCGGCTGAAGGTCGGCCTCGTAGTCGATTCCCATCGCCAGCGGGTCGGTATCGAGCCAGGCGCGGTCGCAATAGACGGCGCTCTCGCCCGTGTCCGCCAGCACGATGAACTCGTGGCTGTAGTCGCCGCCGATGGCCCCGCTCTCCGCCTGCATCGGGATCGATGTAAGCCCGAGCCGGGCGAAGGTGCGTAGATAGGCGACGAACATCTTGTTGTAGGAGCGCACGGCGGCCGCACGGTCGATGTCGAAGGAGTAGTTGTCCTTCATGTAGAACTCGCGTCCGCGCATGATCCCGAAGCGCGGGCGCAGCTCGTCGCGAAACTTCCACTGGATCTGGTAGAGGTTCTGCGGCAGGTCGCGATAGCTGCGCACCGACTGCCGGAAGATATCGGTCACGACCTCCTCATGAGTCGGGCCGAAGAGCATCGGCCGGTCGTGCTGTCGGTGAAGCGCAGCATCTCCTTGCCGTAGTCCTGGTAGCGGCCGCTCTCCTCCCAAAGCTCGGCCGGCTGCACCGCCGGCATGAGGATCTCCTGGCAGCCGGCGGCGTTCATTTCCTCGCGCACCACCTGCTCGATCTTGCGAAGCACCCGATGGCCCAGCGGCAGCCAACTGTAGATGCCGGCGCTCGACTGCCGGATCATGCCGGCGCGCAGCATGAGCCGGTGCGAGACGATCTGCGCCTCGGCCGGGTTCTCTCTCAGGGTCGGCAAGAAGTAACGTGAACGCCGCATAACCGAAGCCTCGCACCGATCGACCGCGCCGCGTTTATGCCCAAGCCCGCAACAAAGCGCAATGCGGTGCGGCTTCGCCTCCCGTCGTCTCGGCCCCCTACAACCCGCCGAGACTCAATTCCTTAGCGGGATTAAGTGGGATTAAGTGGGATAAGTGGGATTCTTAGGGACAGGCGGCAGCCGCGCCGCCGACACTCGCCCCCTCAACCTGCCTCCGCCACTTGCCGTACTCCGCGCACTCTCTCGTTCCATAGCGCAACTTTGGCTCGGATGCCGCGCGCCGTGCACCGCACCATGCTCCGCTGAGAGGGACGGGCCGTGGTGGGTCGCAGATCAGCCCCGCATCTGGGCCGCGCCCGCGTAGAGCACCGCGTTGTGGCTCGCGTTCTCAGCCTCGTAAGCGGCCAGCGCCTCGGGCTCCAGATCGCGCGCGGGCCGGCGCTCGCTATCGAAGTAGCCGTACTCGTCGACACCGCGCACAAGCGCCGCGTAGTCGCGGCCGACGACGTTGCGCACATGGGTCGGAATGTAGCGGGTGGCGAAGCCGATGCGCCGGTCGTCGGAGTTGTTGGGACCGGAGCCGTGGATCAGGCGCACGTGGTGTAGCGAGGCCTCGCCGGGCTGTAGCACGACATCGACCGCCTCGGCCTCGTCCACCTCATGCTCGACGATCTGGCCACGCGTGAGCATGTTGTGCTCGTCGAAGGTGTCGCGGTGCGCGATCTGGTCCAGCTTGTGGGTGGCGGGCGCAAACCGCATGGCCCCCGATTCCACCGTGCTGGGCGAGAGCGCGATCCAGGCGGTCACCACCTCGGCGGTGCTGAGGCCCCAATAGGTCGAATCCTGATGCCAGGAGACGAAGGCCGGATCGTGCGCGTCCTTGGTGAAGAAGAGCGAGGTCCAGCAGAGGATGTTGGGGCCGATCAGGTCCTCGACTGCGTCCAGCACCGTCTCGTTGCGGATCAGGCGGTCGAGCGCCGTCACCAGCAGATGGGGCCGGTGCCGCATCCGCTCCCCCTGCTCGGCGAAGTATCGCTCGACAACCTCGACATCGGCGCGGGTCGCCCGCGCCTCCGCCGGTGAAATCACCTGAATCGGGAAGTAGAAGCCGTCGCGCTCGAAGCGTTCAACGGCCTCCGCGGAAAGGTGCTTGGGCATGGTCTCCTCTCTCAGGCGATCGCCGCCGACGCGGGCTCCTCCGGGGCGAACGCCTTTTCCATGGCGCGTCGAGCGCGTATCGCTTCTGCCGCTGCATCGTCCTCGTCGGCAGTCACATCGGCCCAGGTCAGCGGCGTGTCGGGCTCGACGGCACGCGTGAGCCTGACACCGTGGGCGAGGCCGATGGGAAGGTGGCCGCCGGCGAGGCTCGCCGCCGCCGGCATCAGCCGGCCGTAGACGGTGTAGCCCCCTTCCCCATCGAGCCGCGTGCCGGCCTGCAGATGCGCCTTGGCGCAGGCCACCGCATCGGCGCGGAACCCGGTGGGCGCGCCAGTCGGCTCGCCACGCAGCGCGACGGAAGCCACCGAGATACCGAGTTCCAGCCCGATCAGGTGATAAGGCTTGTACATCGATGCGTAGCGCCCCGTGGAATCGGTGCAGAGCCCGTACTCGCGGAAGCAATTGGCGACATAGTGGGTGCCGGCCTCGAACACGGCATACACCCCCCAGCGCAGGTGCCCGTTGAGCGCGCTGCCGTCCCGTGCCTCGCTCGCGATCACCTCGACCTGCCCCTTGTGGTGCAGGGTGCCGCCATCTTCGCGCGGCCTGAGCACTGTCGGCAAGTCGTCGACCCCGCAGGGCGGGAAGCTGAGCCCCTCCGGCGCCGGTGTGAGGCCCGTGGCGTTGGCGACGGCGGTCATCTCGATCGCCGACTTGGTGCCGTCGAGGAAGGAGTTGAACATCTGCGGGTTCATGCCGCCGGCTTCCGCCTCCGCCGGCGTCAGCCCGTAGTGGGTCCAGACATCGTCGGGCGTGACATGATGGAAGCCCGGCTGATAACGGGTGCCCTTGCCGGCGGCGACGACATCGAGGCCCGACGCGCGCGCCCAGTCGACCATCTCCGCGATCAGCGCCGGCTGGTCGCCGTAGGCGAGCGAATAGACCACGCCGGCCTCCGACGCCTCCTTGCGCAGCAAGGGCCCGGCGAGGGCGTCGGCCTCGACGTTGACCATCACCACATGGCGCCCGGCGGCGAAAGCAGGCGACGGGCATGGGCGATGCCGGCGGCGGGATGGCCGGTCGCGTCGATCGACACGTCGAGGCCGTCGGCCGCGATCAACGCAAACGCATCGTCGCAAATGTGGGTGCCGCCGCTCTTCAGCGCCGCGGCGAAAGAGCGCGTACGGCGCTCGTCCTCCTGCCAGCCGGCACGCGCCAGCGCGGCCTCGGCCCGGGCAGGATCGAGATCGGCCACCGCCATCACGTGGAGGCCGGGTGTGCGCCGCGCCTGGGCGAGGAACATGGTGCCGAACTTGCCGGCGCCGATCAGTCCGACGCGCACGGGCTTTCCGTCCCGTTCGCGATCCGCGAGCATCCGATGAAGGTTCATGGGGCGCTATTATAGTCGCCGACGCGCCGCACGCAGGCGCCAAAACGACGGAGGCATTCATGGCGGACAAGCCGGTCGATACGGTTGCCCAGCGCGAGATGTGGAATGAATGGTGGTACGACCAGTTCGAGATCCCGAACGATATCCCCGACAGTTTCCGCCGCTTCGAGATCGAGATCGACGGCGAGGTCTGTGTCGGCGCGCTGCTGGAGACCGCCGCGCCCAAGACCTGCGAAGCCTTCTGGCAGATGATGCCGATCGACGCTCACATCATCCATTGCGCCTTCTTCGGTCACGCCGCCTTCTACCTCGACCGGGTCGATATGGTGCCTGCGCTCGGTTACGAGCTGGAGAACCGGCAGACCAGGATGGCCCCCGGCGACTTCATCTGGGATCCCTGGCTCAAGGAGGTGACCTTCGCCTACGGCCGCCACGCCGGGATGCGCTTCCCCACCACGCTCTGGTACGGCGACACGCCGCACCCAAACCAGGGCTGCATCTTCGCACGGATCGTCGAGAACCTCGACGGCTTCGCCCGCCTCTGCAAGAGCCTCCGCTACGAGGGAACCAAGAGAATGGTGACCCGCCGACGGAGTTGACGCGACGCCCTCTGCGGCAAGCGTCTACGGCCCCGCTCGCTTCCGGGCGCGCTGGCGGCGTGCCTGGATCACGCCGATCGCGGTCAACGAGATGACGATGATGAAGAAGGAGATTGCCGTCGTCACCGTGCCCAGCGCGTAGAGCGCCGGCGACGTGACGTTGGTGGTCATGCTCCAGATTTCGAGCGGCAGCGTGTTGCGCGCGCCGACGGTGAAGGTGCTGCGCGGGAACTCGTCGTAGGAGAGGGTGAAGCCGAACAGCGCCACCGCGATGATGCCGGGCAGCAGGATGGGGATCACCACGTAGCGCAAGGACTGCAGGTTGCTCGCGCCGAGATCGCGCGCCGCCTCCTCCACGCGCGGGTCGAAGCGGCTCAGCACGGCGAACATGATGAGCAGCCCGAAGGGCAGCGTCCAGGTGAGGTGCGCGCCGAGCGCCGACGAATACCAGTGCGCGTTCCAGCCCAGCAGCTGGAGAAGCAGCGTGATGCCGACGCCGAGCACCAGGCCCGGCACCACGAGGCTCCCGATCGCCGTGTAGAAGATCACCGAGTTGCCGAAGAACCGGCTGCGGAAGGCCAGCCCCGCCGCCACCGAGAAGAGCACGGTGACGGAAAGGATGATGAGTGAGAGCGGCAGCGAGCGCGCGAACGCGCCGCCCACATCGCCGGTCCGCGCCTGGCCGAACAGCGCCTCGAACCAGTGGATCGAGACGCCCTGCATGGGGAACACCAACGAGGCGTTCGGCCCCTGAAACGAGAGAATGTAGATGCAGAACATCGGGCCGTAGAGGAAGAGCACGAAAATTCCGAAGAACGCCGCCAGCGGATAGAAGGTCCAGGGTCGAGGCTTATGGGTCTTCGATGATTGCGCCATGCCCCCTCTCCTACGTGCCGCCCGCCAGCTCCCTGCGGATGTTAACCACCCGCAGCACGCCCATCACCATCATCACCACGACGATCAGCAGCACCACCGCGCTCGCCGAGGCAGACGGATAGAGCAAGACGTTGATGTCCTCGAAGATGGCGGAGACGACGGAGGCGCTCTGCCCGCCGCTCATCACCTTGATGATGAAGAAATCGCCCATTACCAGCACGATGACGAAGATCGAGCCGAGCGCGATGCCGCTGCGCGAGAGCGGAACAATGACCTCCCACATGATGCGAAGAGAGCTTGCGCCCGCGTCCCGCGCCGCCTCGATCAGCGATTTGTCGATGCGCGCCATCGAGTTGAAGATCGGGACGATCATGAACAGCGTGAAGAGGTGGACGTAGCTCACCACCACCGAGAAGTCGGAGAACAGCAGCCACTCCATCGGCTCGTCGACGATGCCGAGGCCCATCAGCGCCTGATTGACCAGCCCCTGCTTCCCCAGCAGCGGGATCCACGAGATCATCCTGATGATGTTCGAGGTCCAGAACGGCACGGTGCAGAGCAGGAAGAGCCCGATCGCGATCAGCAGGGAGCGGACGTGGAACACCAGGAAGTAGGCGATGGTGAAACCGATGAGCAGCGTGACTGCCCAGACGATCGCCGCGAACTTTAGGGTGCTGAGATAGAGCCAGAGCGTGTTCATAGTGGTGAACAGCTCGATATAGCTCTCCGGCGTGAGCGCGGGCCTCATGCCGAAGATCATGTCGCTCTCGAAGAAGCTGACCACCACCAGAACGCCCAGCGGCACCACGAAGAAAACCGCCAGCGCGAGGCCGAGCGGGGCCACCCGCACGAACGGCCGCCGCTCCCTGCCGGTGCCGTTGCTCATCGCGAGACCGAATCCAATCGAGTGAAAGAACGGGGCGGGGCCGGTACGCCGGCCCCGCCCGCAGGGATAAGGCCGTTCAGGCCGTCTGCAACTCCGTCCACTTCTTGAGCAGGAACTGCTGGTTATCCATCAGCGTGTTCCAGCACGCCATGTTGCCGAAACGATTGGAGAACGAGCCGCCGTCGCGGACGTGCCCCGCCTTCTCCATCGGGTTGCCGTAGGGGTCCTTGATGGTGTCGGCCGCCGGCTTGCCCTCGTACCAGTAATCCCACTCGAAGGGCTGCATGAAGTTCTTGGCGGTCTCCGAGACGCCGAGATAGTAGCCCTGCTTGGCGATGAAGGCGCCCATCCAGCCGTCATAGTACCAGTTGAGATAGTCATAGGCCGCGCCGAGCCTCTTGCCCTCGAGGTGGCTCATCAGGCTGAGCCCGTTGCCCCAGCCGCGATAGCCCTCGGCGAGCGGCTGGTAGATGCAGGGCACGCCTGCTGCGCGCACGGCAGTCACAGCCGGCGACCACATCGACTGGATCACCACCTCGCCCGAAGTCATCAGCTGCACCGACTGGTCGAAGGTGCCCCACATCGACCGCCAATGGCCCTTCTTCTTGAGATCGATGAGCCGGTCCACGGTCATCGTGATCTCTTCCTTGGTCATGTTGCCCTTGTCGGCATAGGTGTATTCGCCGGTCGATTCGATGGCGAGCGCAGCGTCCATGATCATGATCGGCGGGATATCCATGCCCGCCGCCCGGCCGCTGAACTCTTCGTTGAAGAGCTCGTGCCAATTGTTGATCGGGCGGCCGATCTCGACCGGCTGGATGCCGAGCGTATCGGCATTGAACACGCCGGGGGTCATCGTCGCGTAATCGGTGGTGCCGTCGGCAAGCGCATTGGCGTCGGCATCGGTGAAGTACATCACCTCATGGGGCGAGACCCCCTGGCGCGAGACCTGCTTGCCGTCGAACTCGCCGTCCCGATAGAGCGACGTGGTCTTGTCCCAATGCGCGATCTTGGCGGGATCGACCGCCTGGTAGATGCCGCGCGGCACGGTGATGACCCGCATCCACAGCTCGATGTCGGCGACATCGATCGAATCGGACTGCGTGGTCAGCCGGTTGAGCATCCCGGCGTGATCGGTGACGGCCATCTCCACCGAGAACGGCAGATCCACCGTCGCCTGCTCGGCGATCTGAATGATCGTCGAATAGGACATGCCGGAATGGTTGATCACGATGTCTTTCGTGTCCTGCGCCCAGACGGTTGGAAATCCGCCAAGAGCCTTGGTGCCGGCCGCGACGCCGGCGATCGCCGCGGCGCCCTTGAGAATTGTGCGTCGGCTCGGTCCCTGCCTCCGATGCTCCGTGGTCTTTGCCATGATTGCCTCCTCCCTGGGTTGGGCGTCAGCCAGGGCGCGTTGCGCCGTGCGCCGACAACCCGTTGTGCCTAGCCTAGCCCGGAATTCTCACCAATGTCATGGTCCGCGCGACATTCGCTGGGCGCAAGAGGGTCGCGGCTTCATGTGTGTGCCGGCGGCTCAGCCCACGCGACGTGCGCATGGCAATGGCCGGTACGGGCCGCTATAAGGTCTGGCGGCAATGTCGAGCGAGCGACCGTACGCGCGACAAGTGTCTCAATGCCCTGATTTACTAGCAACTTAGCATGATCGACATAGCGTGACGAAGTCGCCGCCACCTCCGGGGAACCGGCGTCGCGGACGAGCCCGTATTCTTGCGGCACGCGCCCATCGCCTCATGGCGTGGGCGATTATCGTCGCCGCGCTGACGATGATCGTCGTTCCGGCGAAGGCCGACACCCACAGCCTGAAGATCGGCGTGCTCGCCCCTCTCGAAGGCGCGTTCGGGCCCCTTGGAAAGGACGCCGTGCGCGGTTACGAGCTGGCCTTGAGCGAGCACGAGGGACGCGCCGGCGAGCGACCCATCGAAGCATTCGTCGAATCGACTGACGGGACCCCGGACTCGGTGATCGCGAAGGCGCGCATGCTGATCGACCGCGGTGCCAACATACTCATCGGTCCCCTTGCGGGGATCGAGGGCATCGCAATCCGCGAATTCGCCAAGAGCGTGCCCGAGGTGACGTTCATCAACGGCGCCTCGGCAGCGCAGGACGCCACCTTGCGTGCGCCGGCGGACAACTTTTTCCGCTTCAATCCCGACAGCATGCAGTGGATCGCGGGGCTCGGGCGTTATGCCTACGAGGAGAAAGACATCCGCACGATCGTCTCGGTCGCCGAGGACTATCCCTTCCCTACACGCAGCTCATGGGCTTCATGCTGGACTACTGCGCCCTTGGCGGCCAAGTGCTGGCACGGCACTGGATCTCCACCGGTGCGAGCGACGCCGCGCGCATCGCCGAGACCGTATCCGTTACGGAGACAGACGCGCTGTTCCTGGCTTTGGAGCCCCGTGCGGCCAAAAAGTTTCTCGAAGCCTATGCCGAGGCCGGCGGGCAGGCTGCCATTGTGACGGGCGCCACGACCCTGAGCGGCAGCCTTCTCAAAGCAAGCGCCATCCGCCCTCTGCTGGAGGGGGCGATTTCGGCGCTGCCGATCTCGGAGAGCGACGACAACGAAGCCTGGACCGAGTTCACTGAGCGCTACCGCGAGCGCTTTCCGGATGCAGGACCTTCGCCAAGCCTGTTCGCCCTCAGCTACTACGTGAATACCAAGGCACTGCTTCTCGCCCTCGACGAGATCGACGGCGACCTCGGCGACGGGCACGAGGGTCTAAGGGAAGCTCTCGCCGAGCTAGCTTCGATACCCCGTTCGGCGGCCCGGTCGAACTCGACGCAAACCGCCAGGCCGTGACCAGCACGTTCATCGTGGAGGTCGTCGAGCCGGCGGGCGGCTCCCTTACGCAGAAGACCGTCCATACGGTCCCCGACGTGGAACAAACGCTCGGCCTCCCGCGCGACGCATTCCTCGCCCTCGGCCCGCCCAGCCGAGCGAATACCCTTTGCCCCGAACACGCTCTGCCCGAGGCCGAGACGCAACCGTCGCCATCGGAAACCGAGATTGCCGTAGAGGCGCCCGCCGAAGAGCCAACGCCGGAGGCAGACGAGGACGTTGAGACGCGTGAGGACCCGGCCGATACACTTCGACACCATCTCCTGCTAACGCTCAAGACGGAACCCGCTATGACCGAGACAGGCCCAGCCATCGTTCCATGCCTCAGCTACCGCGACGCGCCTGCCGCGATCGCCTGGCTCAAGGAGGCATTCGGCTTCACCGAAAACATGATCGTGCCGGGGCCGGACGGCACGATCGCCCATGCTCAACTTGCGTTCGCCTCCGGCCTGATCATGGTGGGCTCGCAGAGGGACGACGAACTCGCGATGAGGATTCCGTGCGACCTCGGCGGCGTCACGCAGTCGATCTATATCGTGGTCGAGGACGCCGACGCCCACCACGACCGTGCCGTCGCGGCCGGCGCCGAGATCGTGCGTGAGCTGCAGGACACGCCCTACGGCTCGCGCGACTACTCCGCGCGCGACCCCGAAGGCCACCTCTGGAATTTCGGCACTTACCGGCCGGCCATGAGTGAGTAGGCGGCTCCGGCCAATCCGCGCGGATCAGTCGTAGGCTTCGCCCGCCTTGTTGGTAAAGCGAATTTTGCCCCCACGCTTCTCGTAGACGAGATCAACGTCCGGATAGTGGGCGCGTTCCTCACCGGCGCGGGTGCCGATCTCAAGCACCACCGCATCCTCTCCCGACCGGTTCACGAGGTGGTGGCCGTCGGCGTGGCCGGCCTTGAAGGCCGCCGCCTCGCCTGCCCGGAGCAGCGTTTCGCCGGCATCTTCAATCAGGACCAGCTCGCCCGAAACGACGAAGACCAGTTCGTCCTCGGCTTCGTGCCAGTGGCGCTGGGCGGTCGCGGCACCCGGCGGCAGGCGCGTCAGGTTGACTCCGAACTGGGTGAGCCCGCCCGCATCCCCCAACGCCTGGCGGGCGCGCGCATCAGCCATCGCCTTGAACGGCGCCGGATAGATCGAGCCGGTCTTCACCGGCACTTGGTCGATGTCGATCTTCGGCATGCCAAGGCCTACGCGGCGGAGTGCAGGGCGCCGGTCATCGCGTAGCGCAACAGCTCGACCACCTGCTCGGGCGTCTCGGCGACGGCGAGCGCGGCGCCGTCCACCTCCTTCAACGCGTGGGTGAGCGCCGGGTCGTGCAGCGTGATATCGGCTTGTCGAGCGCGGCGGCGTAGCCGGCATCGAAGGCCGCATTCCACTGCCGGTACTTGTCGCCGAAGCGCACGACGACGATATCCGCGCGCCGGATCAGGGTGCGGTTGCGGATCGCGTTGACCCGCGCACCCTTGTGGTCCTTCCAGAACGGCCTCTCCTCGACGCCCAGGATGGCGACGCCGCAATCGTCGCTCGCCGCGTGGTCGGTGACCGGAGAGACGAACGCGACGTCGAGACCCGCTGCGTCGGCACCGGCGCGAATTTGATCGCGCCAGTCGGTGTGTATCTCGCCAGAGGTAGACAGTCCACCCGCTTCCGCCATCTCTGCCCCCGCAATCCCGGCAGGCAGGCTCAATACTGCACGCTGTTGGTGAGCGCGCCGTCCACCTTGATGTTGGTGCCGGTGATGAAGCTCGCGCGCGGGCTGGCCAGGAACACCGTCGCGTTAGCGACTTCCTCGGCGGTCGCCATGCGCCCGGTCTTGTTGAGGCTCAACGCCAGATTGAACAGGTCCGGGTTGCCTTTTTCGATGTCCTGCCAGAAGCCGCCGTCGAAATAGGTGTTGCCGGGCGAGACCGAGTTGGCGCGGATACCCTTGGACGCGAGCTGCCGACTGAGCCCGGCGGCATAGTGGATCAGCGCCGCCTTGAAAACGCCGTAGGGGCCGGCGGCGAAGTCGATCTCGATGCCGGAGACACTCGAGATGACCACGATGGAGCCCGCGTCCGACTTCTCGAGATGAGGCATCGCCGCCTCCACCGTATGGACGGTGTGCATCAAGTCGACGTTGAATTCCTGCTGCCATGACTCCAGCGCAGGCGTCGCGGCCAGTGCGCTGACGTTGGGGACGACGATATCGAGCCCGCCGAACTCCTCGGCGACGTCATCGACCCACTGGCGCACCGCCGGCCCATCGCCGACATCGAGCGTCCGTCCCGAGACGCGCACGCCGGTCTCGCTGAGCGCAGCGACCGCCGCTTCCACATCGGCCTCGGTGCGCGCGCAGATGCGACATCGGCGCCCTCCGCCGCGAGCTCGTTCGCGATCGCCCGGCCGATTCCCTTGGTGCCGCCCGTCACCAGCGACTTCCTGCCCTTCAAGCCGAGATCCATGAGTCACTCCCTCTTCTTCGGTGCAGCGCGGAGCCCGCGGCGCATCATTTCCCAATCCCGGAGCGTGCGAATTCCGCCAGCTCTGCCGGGACCCTAGTTGCGCGATATGGTGACCGATGGCAAGTGCCAAGGCCAGCGCCCGTTCGCCGGCGGCGGGCTGCCTTAGCGGGCGAGCGTCACGAATGTATTTGGCTGCACGTCTTCGAAGCGCGCGGTGTAACCATCCGGCCATTGCACGGCGACCTCGCGGCTGCCAGCCCCAGCCAAGTGAATCCATCCATTCACGCCGCTCGCTGTCCGCCGCCTACACCACAACCCACAACCCCCCCAACCCCCCCCCCCCACCCACCACCCCACCCCCCCCCCACCCAAACACCCACACCCCCCAAAACACCACCCCAACCCACACACACCCCCACCCCACACACACCCCCCCCCCCACCACCCCCCCACACCCAAAACCCCCCCCCACACAACACCCCACCACCCACCCCAAAACCAACCCCCACACCCAACCCCCACCCACCCCCCACACACCACCCCCCCCACAACCCAACCCACCCCCCACACACCCACCCACAACCAACCCCCCACCAAACCACCCACCAACACCCCCACCCCCACCAACCCCCACCCAACCCCCCCCCCAACAAACCACAACCACCCCCCCACCCAACAACACCACACCCAACCCCACCAACCCCCCACACCCCCCCACCAACTGTCGTCGCAGGATGAACGGACGCGGGGCGTCCTGACGCGTATTCCCGAAGGCGAAATGGGAAGCCAGATATCGCCCTCCAGGGCGTCTCGTGGTCCAGCCGTCGCCCAGCCCGGCCGCCATCCAAGCGAATTGGCGTGGCGACCTAACGCGCATCCCCCTGCCATGCAGGAGCAGGTTCTCGCCGGCGCGCAACACGACGAGTCATCAGCCATCGGCAAGATTCGAGCGGATAGGCACCCGTCACGGCGTCGATCTGCACCGTGGGCGAAATCACCGACTCGAACGCGAGCAAGCCTGAGGTCTCGTTGCGGAAAAACGCGGACGGGTCGGCACCGCCGGCGAGGAAAACAGGTCGGCATCGCAGTCGAACGTCGCCACACCGCCGCCGACGAAATACGTCCAGTCACCGGTGTAGGTGTGCGACACCCAGCCGCGGCGGCCGCCTCGACGAAGGCCGGGGTGTCGGGCTCCGTCGTTGCCGAGGGCGTCGTGGGAGGAGCGCAGCCGATGGCCAGCAGAGCGGCGGCCAGCGCGGGAGGAAGCGCCCAACGCAGCGGTGAGCGCCGCCCTGGTAGTCTGGAAATCACTCGATTCGTCGCCCGGCGAGTCTGGCACAGAGTCAGGGTGCTCGGTAGGATACAGGCGATGCACGGACGTCGCGCGGCGGTCGCAGCGCGGCGTCCAATCGTGAGGCCACCCTCGCTGCGGATTGGCTGGCCAGGGAAGATCAATCGTGAGTTGGAGCACCGAATGCCAGAGCTGAAGATCGGACTCGTGGGTGCCGGCTGGATGGGCAAGGCCCACGCCATGTGCTATCGCGCCCAGCCGCTCGCGTTCGGCGCTCGGCCGGCGGTTCCCGTGCTCGAAGTGCTCGCCGACGTGAACGACGAGATTGCGAGCCGCGCGGCCAGGGAGTTCGGCTTCCGCCGCCATACGGCGGACTGGCGGGAGATCGTCGACGATCCGACCATCGACATCTGTCGACATCAACACCGCCCCCGAACGATCTCCACTTCGACATCGCAATGGCCGCGATTGCCGCCGGCAAGCACGTCTATTGCGAGAAGCCCCTCGCCAACGACGCGAAGACTGCGTTCACGATGGCGGAGGCCGCCGAGAAGGCGGGCGTCATCACGATGGTGGGCTTCAACTACATCAAGAACCCCGTCCAGTCTCTCGCCCGGCGGCTGGTCGCGGACGGCGAGATCGGCGAGCCTAGTTACTATCGCGGCTCATTCAGCGCTGACTTTCTGGGCCGACCGGAGATCCCCTTCTCCTGGCGTAACGACAAGGCGAAGGCCGGCTCCGGCGTGATCGGCGATATCGGCGCCCATTGCTTCGCGTATCTGCGGCACCTCGTCGATCAGCCGGTCGAGGAGGTGGTCTGCGATCTCAAGATCGTCATCCCGAACGCCCGGCACCGGCGGAGCACGGCGGCTTCAGCCAGGACGCCGGCGGCACGGGGCAGATGGTGCAGGTCGATACGGACGACGTCGCGACCGCGATGTTTCGGACCGCGGGCGGCCTGACCGGGCACATGGAGATGAGCCGGGTCTCGCTCGGCAAGCGCATGGATATCGGCTACGAGCTGACCGGCACGCAGGGCGGGCTTCGCTACTTCTACGACCGCATCAACGATTTGCAGTTCTACAAGGAGGACGGCGCGCAAGATACACGGGGTTTCAAGCACATCTCGATGGGCCCCACCGACCCGCGCTATGCCGCGTTCTTCCCGGTGCCGGGTATCGGCGCCGGCTACAACGACTACAAGGTGATGGAGGTTCAAGACCTCATCGAGGCGGTTGCCGCCGGAAGGCCGGCCTATCCCGATTTCAGATGGGCGGCGGAGGTCCAGCGCGTGATCGACGCCTGCATCCTTTCCGACGCCGAGCGGCGCTGGGTGAAGGTGAGCGAGATCGCCGTCTAGGTCCGGACCACACGTCGAGCGTACTGCTCTCCGAAACCGTTACGGGCGGCGGGGGTCGACAGGGAACGGAGTATCGAGAACGATCGTAAGTCACATCAACCACGAGGGGAGATCTTTCAGACGAAGGTATCCATGCTCGCGGCCGGCGCACTGGTGCTTGGCATCAGTGCGATCATCGGGGCGACGGCCGGACCGGCCCTTGCCGCCGACAAGCTCCTGGGCGTGAGCTGGTAGCACTTCCGCGAGGAGCGCTGGAAGAAGTACGACGAAGCCTGCATGCTGGATCAGCTCAAGAAGTATCCCGATTGGGATTACATCTCCACGGATGCAAACGCGTCTGCTGAGAAGCAGAACGCCGACATCGAGACGCTGATCAGCCGCGGCATAAACGCCCTTCTCATCGTTCCCTATTCGACGGACGCAGTGAAGCCGGCAGCCCAGATGGCGCTCGCGAACGGTCATTCCGACGGTCGGCTACGACATCCAGATCGAGGAGCCGGGGATCTTCTACCTCAGCTTCGACAATGCCGAGGTCGGCCGCATTCAGGCGCGGGGCGTGGTCGATGTCGTGAACAAGGGCCGCTTCGCCTACATCAAGGGCAGCCCGACCATGGAGATTACCGAATTCGTGTGGGGCGGACAGGTCGAAATCCTGACTGCCTACATCGAGAAGGGTGACATCGAGATCGTCTGCGAGCTCTATTCCGACGGCTGGCTGCCCGAGAACGCGCAGATCAACATGGAGCAGTGCCTGACCGCCAATGACAACAACGTCGACGCGGTGGTCGCCTCTAACGACGGCACCGCCGGCGGCGTGGTGGCGGCGCTCGCCTCGCAGGGGCTCGCCGGCAACATTCCGGTCTCTGGGCAGGACGGCGACATCGCGGCGCTCAACCGGATCGCCAAGGGCTACCAGACGGTGAGCGCGTGGAAAAACGCCTGCGACCTAGGCCGCGCCGGCGTGGACGTTGCCATCGCCCTTGCGGAGGGAACGACCGCGGATCTCCGACCGCATTACCGTGCTCAACGGCGGTCAGGTGGTGGACACGGTGCGAACGCAGGATGTCACAAAGGATCAGGTGCTCGGCATGATCATCCTTGGCAAGCGGATCGAGGAGGAGACCGAGGAGGACCTCGCCAGCCTCCATTGACCGGCTTCGCGGTCGCGCTATCGGCTGGAGGCACGCAGCCAGGGCGGCTCTTGCTTCAGGATCTCGGCATAAACTGGACATTCCGGCCGGTGGGCGCCTTCGAGATAGCCGGTGGACAGCAGGAACTCGCGGCAGATCTCGCCGCCCGTGAACTTGAAGTGCGCCTTGAAGAGCTTCACCCCTCGGCGTGGGGCCGGGGATGATGGGCGTCGAGCCAGTCGGCGAAGAGAGCCAGTGGGAGCCTGCAACGCCTGAATGCGCCGGGCATTCTCGATGCGCGGCATCGACCTTGAGACGGTTACGGATGATGCCCGCATCGGCAAGCAGGCGTGACCGCGCCACGATCCGTCGTAAGCCGCAACCCGCCCGATCTCGAACCCGTCGAAGGCCGCCAAGAAAGCTCGCGTTTCTTCAATATCGTGAGCCAGGAAAGACCGGCCTGGTTGATCTCCAGCACGAGACGCTCGAACAGGCGGTCGTCGTCCCGCACCGGAAAGCCGTATTCCCGATTGTGATAGGGCCCGTGGTACGGGTGGCCAGGGGCGATGTCGCAATAGCTCGTCACCGCGCCTTGCTCAGCCCCTATTCCGCGAAGGTTTCCATCGAGAGCCAGCCGGCATCGACGACGCCGACGATGGCGCCGGTGATCAGGCCGCCGGCCACGGTCGCAATCGCCGCCTTGCGCCAGAGTCGCGGGCGTTGAGGGGCGCCCGGCGCGTGGCCGGGCTCCGGGTTCTCGATCGCCTTGATCCCGAACGGCAACGCGACAAAGAAGGAGAGCCACCAGGCGATCACGAAGACGACGATGATACCGAAGACGTCCACGCGACGCCCTCACACCTGCTCTAGCTCGATCAGCGTGCCGCAGAAATCCTTGGGAGGGAGGAAGATCACGGGCATGCGTGGCGCCCGTGCGTGGCTCGCGTCGCCAAGCACACCGCGCGACACCTCGGCGACGAGGCGATCGAGCGCACTGACATTGGAGGTCGTCGACCTCGTACAGAGATGGTGGATGCCAAGCCGACACGCGACTCGTGGCACAGAAAGCCGCGATGGCGAAGCCATCGCGAGCGTGCAGGAGTCACAGCTGAGGTGTGCGCAGCATGACGAAGACGGTCGTGCACCCCATGCTCCGGCAGGTCGCGCGGTCACCGAGAAGCGGTCGCGAACACCAGGGTCGACGGAGAGCGGCAGATCGACACGAAGCCGCGAGGTCTGGGCCGAGCACGGCGATGGCGACATGTTCAAGCGTCACGATCATGAGGCCTAGGCTCCCGCTACACTCACGGCAACAGGCGCGCGATCTGCACAGGCACGATCACACGGGCAGCTATGCCGTGCGCTCTCGCGCAGCAGACGCGACCGAAGATGGTGCACGCCGCGCCTGCTCTTCGATCCGCGCGCGTCTTCGCTGCGCTCGCGCCCGCAGATCAAGCGAGTCCCACCGCGTCTGCCACGTTCTCGCCGCAATCGCCTCCCGCGCCGCCTGCTGGTCGTCCGCGCCAGACCCCCGGCCGACGAGGGGCGACACGGGTCCGCCCGCTACGGTCGACAACGACCGAGAGACGAAAATCGCTCCATTGTGCATCAGCTTGCGTCGCGCACCGATCGAGACGTGATCGGTCGCGCACGAGATTCTCAGCATCCAGTCCAGCGCGAGCGCCGGATAGGCGCAGCGAGCCGATTACCGCAGCAGCGGCTCCGGCGCGAGCCGCACCAGGTCGCCGTGTCTCGACGACGAAGACCGGCTCCGCACAGAGCGCGCGGGCCAGACCGCGGCGTGGGACCTGCATGTGACGATGCCTCGCCATGCACCGGCACCGCGATCTGCGGCCCGGATACCCACTGTACATCTGGCGCAACTCGCCCCGGCACGGATGGCCTGAGACGTGGACGCCCGCGTCCTTCTCCGTGACGACCTCGATGCCGCGCCGCAGCAGCCTGTTGTGAAAGTCGGCGATGGTCCGTTCGTTCCCGGAATGATCTTCGACGAGCAGATCACCGTGCCGCCGTCGAAAAGGCCTACGCGCGGAGACTGTCGCTGGCTATCCTGGACATCGCGGCGCGCGGCTCGCCGCTGCAGCCGTGCAGAGATAGAGCACCTGGCTGTTGTGAAGCTGCGCGCCCTCGTCCGCGTGAGCAGCCGGACAGCTTCGAGCATAGCCGCACGCGCGCGCCGCGCGCACATAGCGATGCACGCGAGCGGACCGACGAGCACCGGCTCCCGCCCCGCATCCCGCGCAAGGGCGCGACCGATTCCAACGGGCGACATGGAGGCAAAGAGGTCACGGCAAGCCGTTCTCGCGCTAGGCGACCAGGCGCGCGAGCGTTTCCGCACCTCGCCTTCCGACCCGATTCGCCTCTACCGTCGCGTTGGGAGTCGCCGACCAGCGCCAGCAAAACGGCCTCCCCCCTGCCGCAATGCAGCCTCATCCAGGGATCGCCCACCACTGTCGGGGTCGACTTCCAATCGCCGGTGGCATGACACGCCCGTAGGGCGTCTCGATCAGAATAGCGGGGCTCCGGAATGAATGATGAGCGAGATGAAGGTGAGCGCAAACGGACCAATGAAACGGCTCGAAAGCGCCACCATCGTTGAGCGGCACACTTCCGAGAGCAGCTTCCGCTACAGCAGCTTCTCGCGCAGGATCGCGGCGGCAAACGGGGTCGCATACACGGGGCACCTAGTCTCGGCCAAAGATAGGCCACCGCGCCAAGATGGTCCTCGTGTGCATGGGTCGAACGATGGCGAGCAGGTCCTCCCTGCGCCCACCATGAAGCCGGGTCCGGCATGATCACTCGATCACCGCACGTGTCGCACGCTAAGGTGATGCCGAGATCGACCATAAACATGTGCCCTGGCGCCGGGCCATCACTTCTCGGGGCCCGCTTTGGACGGAACAGCTAGCGGCAGCTGATGGGACCCGGCCAGACTGATGCAGTGCTCCAGCGAGAACGCGATGCCGGCGCCGATGATGCCGCCCTAGTAGGCGCCTTCGGCGCTCACGGATCGAAGGTCGTCGCGGCTACCGAAGTCGAGGATGATAAACGGCGCCCGCGTGGCAGGACATGCGCGCCGACCGAGTTGACCAGCCGCCGTCGGCGACGACCTCGTCCGGCCGCGGCCCACTGTTGACGTCGATGACCAGCGCCCACCTTGGCCGCCGATGACCTGCGCCATGCAGCCGCAATGATCGCGCGCCAGAGCCGGATTTGAGCGCCAGACGCATCCCACTGCCGGCACCACAGCTTGAGACGATCGCCGACGCATGTCGGCGAGGCTGAGGACCGCCCTCGCGCAGAGTTGTCCAGCAAGACGAGTATTCGTAGCTCGTGACGGCGTGCGTAGGTCACATGGCGCGCCAACTGGCCGAGTGGCAGCCTCGTCCTCTTCCCCGCCGCAGCTCGAACAAGGAGAAGAAGACGGGTTGAGTGTTGCGGACCAACGTCAACCGCGAGCAGCATGCCCACACTACTACGCATCGCAGAAGAAAGACTCGCCGCGCGCATCGAAACCAGCCCACCGAGTCGCCTGCAAGAGCACCAGCGCCCCCTCCGCACCCAATCCGAGACCTCAATATTCCGCCACGTAGCTGCCGGTTGCCGTTGGCCGACCGTAACCGAGCCGCCGAGTCCGTGGGCGCGGGACGAGGCACGCGCGTCGAACCGCCCGCAAAGCCCTGCGTCTCCCAGTCCCGTCGCCGATCGAGGCGAGAGCCGCCCCAAGCGCACGAAGGTAGAGCCCCCAAGAATCCGGCAGAGAGCGGTGGAGTAGAAGGCATCCACCACCCGTAGACGAAGCTCGTAGACGGAATGGGCCCCTTTTTTTTTTTTTCCCCCCCCCCCAGCCGCGGGTGGCTCGCCGACGGTTCACGCGATCCCGCAGCACCCAACCAGTATACACGCCCTCGGGTCTCAAGCGCCGATTCCAACAGGATACCGGCGACTGCCGCCGTCCAACGAGGATATTCGTTCGGCCACTTGCAGCGTGCGCGGCCGGGCAAAGGCCCATCCACGAGGTCGGGACGGCGAGCCGAGCAGCGGACGAAGGAGAGATGCCGCGACACTCGTGCCTCGCAAGACTGGGCGAGAGGTCAAGAGAGATAGAGATTAGACCCCGGCGGCGAGACCAGGAGCGCCCCCTCCCCACGGCGCCACGCGCCCGGCCCGATGAGCCCGAGCCCCAGCATGACGAACTACCTTCGGCGCGCCCGCCACGCGCAGGTCTTCGCCTCGTCATTGCGGGCTGGCGGCCTCGTCGAGGGCGATCAGTGACCATAGGTCTTGTGGCCCAGCGCCGTCCAGCGGCATGAGCCGAGAGATCTCGTCGTCAGCGGATGCCAGCGACACGCGGAGGCGGCTTCCCGCCAACACGGACAGGAGGAGCGTGGCACCGGATAGGCGAAAGCAAGAGAAGCTGTAATGATGACCCCCGTGGCCCGCGAGCACGGCCGGGAAGCTCCCCCTTACACGCCGAGGGCTGGTCGAACCAGTCGGTCGGCTCGATCGAAGTAACATCACCTGACGATCCGGCATGTAGTCGTAGGCGCCAGACGACGCTCGCCAGCACACCCGAAGACAGCGAGGCCGTTAAAGCCCCACGTTACCGCCGCCAGGAAGACGACTACGCTTGCCGAAGAAGCCGGCGAGCGGACGGGAGTTTCCCGCCCCACTCGAAAACATGAAGATGGCGAGCGAAGCGCGAGCGGAGGGTATGACGTCTTGGAAAGGCCAGAGACGGCTCGCTGATCTCCTCGACCATCTGCCGCGCCGGCGCATGGCGAGGATGCAGGCGAAGCCGCCCGTAGACACGTCATTACCATGAGATCGCCATGCTAGATGATCCACGACCCCGGATCCCCTCCGGCGTGCCGCCGAGAGCCCGACGAGACGCATAGCCGAATGGCGAGGAGCTGTAGGCCCATCAGCCGCTCGATGATCTTCTGGCAGATGGAACGGCGAAGGCGCCGAGCACCCATGGAAGCCACAACGAAGACGAAGATACACGATCTGGTCCCACTGGTCGGCGAGCCGGGGGAAGGCGGCCGAGGAAAACCCCCCCTCCCCCCCTAGTACACTGAGCGCACGACATGGCGGAGACCTTAGGCCAGCTGCCGGCGAAGAATGCGGTGACCGGAGTCGGCGCACATCGAGACATCCGGCGTCCACATGTGGAAAGGCCACCGCCGAGACCTTGAAGGCAATGCCGCGGCGCAACTGCAAACACGAGCCCGATCAGCGACGACCAGCTCGGCAGCCGCGTTGCCCGGCACGGTGGTGGTCAGCGCTTCGGCAATCCCCTCGAAGCCGAGTCACGCCGCGTGAAGCCACAAACCATGGAGCAGCCGTAGCACAGAAGGCGGAGGAGATTGCGCCAGCACGAAATATTTGGGCCATCTCGTCGACCGCGCAACGAGTCGCGGTTAGAACGCGGCGGACGATGAAAGCGAGAGCCTCTGCCCCAACTCGAGCCGAAATAGAGTGCGCCATCAGGTCGCATTCGCCGAAACATCCACCCCACAACATGCAGGGGTGGCGAAGACGATCAGCACCGGAACTCAAGCGGTTCATTACCTCGCCACGCCACACGTAGCCGATTCAGATGATGAGCAGTGACCAGCTGCGCGACAAAGCACAGGATTCCATGAAACGAGGCGAAGCGACGACCACGAAAAGGCCGAAGAAGGATCGTCGTCCGCTCGTCGCCGGGAGCGCCAGAACCATGACGAAGGCCAACCGAAATGGAAGACCGCAAGAAGACACACGGTAATGAGAAAGCGGTAGACGACGATCGAACGATGAACACGCAGGCCATCAGACCAGGGTGACGAGACCACCGGCGACGCGAGGAAGAGCAGGGCCAGCAGCGGGCAGGTAGCTAGGGCCTCGACGAAAGGTGATCGTCCAAACCCCTATTCAGAGCCGCAACGCGGGCAACGGAACGGCCTCTCAGGCTCGGCAAATCAGGACAACGGCAGCGCACCGTTCGTCTGTCGATGCGAGTTTGGGCTCGACGAGACCGTGAGGACGTCGAGGAAAGGCCTCCGGCATAAAGCCCGCAGCACCAGCTGCCAGCGAACCAGGGCGCGAAGATGCCCACCTCGCGCAGTTGAGGTCGTGATCGACTGAGAGCGTTCTCCTGCCCGTGAGCTCGCCGAAGATCACTGCGCCGGTAAAGCCCGAGCATGTAGCGGCGGCAAGAACCACGCCACGGCCGTCAGCGCCAGCATGGCGTACCCAGGTGTTCTGACTGGAAGGCGCCCACCAAGCACCATGAATTCGCCGACGAAGCCGCTGGTCCAGGCCAGCCGATCGCGGCCAGCGTGAACACCATGAGCACGAAGGCGTAGATCGGCAATGCGGTGCACCAGCCGCCATAGTCGCGATCTCCGCGGAGTGTGGGTGCGGTCGTAGACCACGCCGACGCAGAGGAACAGCGCCGCCGAGACGATGCCGTGGCTCAGCATCTGAATGATGCCGCCTTCGATTCCCTGGCCGGTGAAGGTGAAGATGCCGATGGATGACGATCCCCATATGGGCGACTGAGGAATAGGCGATCAGCTTCTTCATGTCCTGCTGATGAGCGCGCGACCAGCGAGGTGTAGATGATCGCGACAATGCTCAGCCAATAGATGAAGGGCACGAAGAAGCGCTCGGTCCGGCCAGCATGGCAGCGAGAAGCGGAGGAAGCCGTAGCCGCCCATCTTCAGCAGAATGACCGCGAGGATCACCGAGCCCGCCGTCGGACGCTCCACGTGCGCGTCGGGGGAGCCAGCGTGTGGAACGGCCACATCGGCAGCTTGACGGCAGAAGGGACGAGGCGAAGAGCGAGCAGAGCCAGGATGAGACAGCAGGTCTGCAGCCCGTCGCGAGTCGGGAGGATGCGACGTCGGGATATCGGTGGCCGGCGTCGAGGTACATGAAGAGGATCGCCAGCAGGAACAGCACCGAGCCCACCAGCGTGTAGAGGAAGAACTTGAACGCCGAGTAGTAGACTCGCCGCGCGCTCGCCCCAGATGCCGATGATCAGGAACATCGGGATCAGCTGGCCCTCGAAGAAGATGTAGAACATCACCAAGTCGAGGGAGCAGAAGACACCGACGATCAGCGTCTCCATGACCAGGAATGCGATCATGAACTCGCGCACGCGACGTCGCGATCGCCTCCCACGAGGCGAGGATGCAGATCGGGATCAGGAAGGTGGTGAGGATCAGGAAGAAGATCGAGATCCCGTCCACGCCCAGGTGGTAGCCGATGTTGTGCTCGGGCAGCCACGGCACCAACTCGACGAACTGGAATTCGGCGGTCGAGGTGTCGAAATCGGCGACGAGCAGGATCGAGAGCGCGAAGGTGACCACCGAGGTCCAGAGCGCCACGTGACGCGAATTGGCCGCGATCTGCCGTTCGTCGCCCCGGACCAACAGGATGAAGAAGACTCCGACCAGCGGCAGGAACGTGACGGTGGACAGGATCGGCCAATCGGTCATGCCGTTACCTGCCCGCGATCAGATACCAGGTCACGATGGCCGCAAGCCCGAGCAACATCGCGAAGGCGTAGTGATAGACATAGCCTGATTGGAGCTTCACGGCGCGGCGCGCGACGGAGAGCGTCGCGGCGGCGATGCCATCCGGGCCGATGCCGTCGATCACGGCACCGTCGCCATGCTTCCAGAGGTTGTGGCCGAGATACTTGGCGGAGCGCACGAAGAGGAAATCGTAGAGCATCGTCGAAGTACCACTTGTTGAGCAGGAAGAGGTAGACCGGCCGCGCGCGGGTGGCGAGCAAGCCCGGCAGCTCCGGCTTCAGCACATAGAAGAGGAAGGCGCTGCCGATCCCGAGCACGCCGACCGCCATCGGCAGCGCCTTGACCCAGAAGTCGACGTGGTGCGCCTCCTCCAGCGCGTTGTGGATGGGCAGGACGAGGATCGACGTGCCCCAGAAGTCGATATCGGTCGCCACCATCGGCAGCATCAGATAGCCGATCACGATGGCGCCGATGGCAAGCCCGACGAGCGGCACCCACATGATCGCCGGCGCCTCGTGCACGTGGGCCATCACCTTCTCGTCGGCGCGCGGCTTGCCGTGGAAGGTCAGGAATAGCAGTCGCCAGGAATAGAGCGCGGTCAGGAACGCGGCCAGGATGCCGAGCCCAAAGGCGTACATACCGAGCCCGGTGTGCGAGGCAAAGCCGATTCCAGGATGATGTCCTTCGAGAAGAAGCCCGAGAACGGGAAGATCCCGGCGAGCGCCAGATTGCCGATCCACATGAGCACGTAGGTCACCGGGACCATGCGCCAGATGCCGCCCATCTTGCGCATGTCCTGCTCGTCCGACATGGCGTGGATCACCGCGCCGGCGCCGAGGAAGAGCAGCGCCTTGAAGAACGCGTGTGTGGTGAGGTGGAAGATGCCCGCGCCATAGGCCGAGACGCCGCAGGCGAAGAACATGTAGCCGAGCTGGCTGCAGGTGGAATAGGCGATCACCCGCTTGATGTCGTTCTGGGTGATCGCAATGGTCGCCGCGAAGATCGCCGTCGTCGCGCCGAAGAAGGTCACCACCGAAAGGGCGATGGGCGCGTATTCGAAGATCGGCGAAAGCCGCGCCACCATGAAGACGCCTGCGGTCACCATGGTCGCGGCGTGGATCAGCGCCGAGACCGGCGTCGGCCCTTCCATCGCATCCGGCAGCCAGGTGTGCAGCAGGAACTGCGCAGACTTACCCATGGCGCCGACGAAGAACAGGATGCAGGCGACCTCCAGGAAGTCGAAGGAGTGGCCGAGGAAGGTGAGCTCCGCATCCACCATCCCGGGCACGCCTGCGAACACGGCGTCGAACGAGACGGTGTCGAACATGAGGAAGATCGCGAGGATGCCGAGGGCGAAGCCGAAGTCGCCCACCCGGTTGACGATAAAGGCCTTGATCGCTGCGGCGTTGGCCGCCGGCCGCTTGTACCAGAATCCGATCAGCAGATAGGAAAGGAGGCCGACGCCCTCCCAGCCGAAGAACATCTGGAGGAAGTTGTCGGCGCTGACCAGCGCCAGCATGAAGAAGGTGAAGAGCGAGAGATAGGCGAAGAAGCGCGGCACATGGGGGTCATGCGCCATGTAGCCGATGGAATAGACGTGGATCAGAAACGACACCACGCAGACGACGAAGACCATCACGCCGGTCAACTCGTCGAACCTAAGCAGCCAGTCGACGTCGAGATCGCCGGAGCTGAACCAGTCGAAGAGGACGATCGTCGCGGTCTCGCCCTGGAGCACGACCTCGGTGAAGACCACGATCGCCATCACCGCGGCGACGCCCATCGCGCCGCAGGTGACAAGCTGGGCACCGCGCGCGCCAAGCACCCGTCCGAACAGGCCAGCGATCACCGCTCCGAAGAGCGGCAGGAAAATGGGCGCGGCGTAGTAGAGCACCGGCCCTCAGCCCTTCATCACGTTGACGTCCTCGACGGCGATGCTGCCGCGATTGCGGAAGTAGACGACCAGGATGGCGAGACCGATCGCCGCCTCGGCGGCTGCGACCGTGAGCACGAGCATGGCGAAGACCTGGCCCACCATGTCGTTGAGGAAGGTCGAGAAGGCGACCAGGTTGATGTTGACGGCGAGAAGCATCAGCTCAATCGCCATCAGGATGATGATGACGTTCTTGCGGTTGAGGAAGATGCCGACGACGCCGAGGGTGAAGAGGACCGCGGCCACGGTGAGATAATGGGTCAGTCCGATTTCCATGTTCCCTCCGCGCCCGGCTCGATGTCGGTGAGGCGAACGGCAGCCTTCGGATCGCGCGCCACCTGATCGGCGATGCGCTGGCGCCGGACGTCGGTACGACGCCGATGGGTGAGCACGATAGCGCCCACCATCGCGATCAATAGGATGAAGCCCGCGCCCTGGAACAGGTAGGCGTAGCGGGTATAGAGCACGTCGCCCAAGGCTTGGGTATTGGTCACTTCGTCTGGCGGTGGCGTTGGCGATGCAACATTCGTCGGCACCTCGATCTCGATGGCGCCAGAGGCGAAGACCATCACCAGCTCGGCGAGAAGGATGATTCCGATGACGCCGCCGATGGGCAGGTATTGGAGGAAGCCCGCGCGCAGCTCGGCGAAATTGATGTCGAGCATCATCACGACAAAGAGGAAGAGCACGGCGACGGCACCGACGTAGACGATGATGAGGATCATCGCCAGGAACTCGGCGCCCATCATCACGAAGAGCCCGGCCGAGTTGAAGAACGCCAGGATCAAGAAGAGCACGGAGTGAACCGGGTTGCGCGAGGCGATCACCATGACGCCCGCCCCCACCGTCCCCACGGCAAGGACGTAGAACATGATCGTCTGAATGATCATCGTGCCGTGGCCCCGCTTGGCTTACCGTTCCGCCCCTGCCGATTCCGGCTCAGCGGTAGGGTGCCTCCGCGCTCAGGTTGGCGGCGATCTCCCGCTCCCAGCGGTCGCCGTTATCGAGCAGCTTCTCCTTGTTGTAGAGCAGCTCCTCGCGGGTCTCGGCGGCGAACTCGAAATTGGGTCCCTCGACGATGGCATCGACGGGGCAGGCCTCCTCGCAGAAACCGCAGTAGATGCACTTCACCATGTCGATGTCGTAGCGGGTCGTGCGCCGGCTGCCGTCCTCCCGCGGCTCGGCCTCGATGGTGATTGCCTGCGCAGGACAGATCGCCTCGCACAGCTTACAAGCGATGCAGCGCTCCTCGCCGTTGGGGTAGCGGCGCAGCGCATGCTCGCCGCGGAAGCGCGGACTCAGCATGCCCTTCTCGTACGGGTAGTTGAGCGTCGCCTTGCGCTTGAAAATCTGCTTGAAGGTTACGCCAAGCCCGACCGCCAGCTCGGTCAGGAGCAAGGATCGAACCGTCTGCTCAATCGCTGGCATGGCGACCTCCTTCTCGGCGCCGGGCGCGGCCATAGCACAGGCCGCTTACCGTCGCCAGGGTGACTTACCTCGGCAACCAGTCGAACGCGTGCAGCGCACCCGCGACGATCACGACCATGGCGAGCGAGGCCGGCAGAAACACCTTCCAGCCGAGCCGCATGAGCTGATCGTAGCGGTAGCGCGGCAGCGTCGCGCGCGTCCACGTGAAGAAGAAGACGACGACCGCCGTCTTCAGCAGGAACCAGACCACACCGGGAACCGCCATCAGGGGCTCGACGTGGAAGGGCGGCAACCAGCCGCCGAGGAACAGGATCACGCTGAGCGCGCTCAAGAGGACGATGTTGGCGTACTCTCCCATCATGAAGAGCAGCCAGGTCATCGACGAGTATTCCACCTGGTAGCCGGCAACCAGCTCGCCCTCTGCCTCCGGCAGATCGAAGGGCGTGCGGTTGGTTTCGGCCAGCGCCGAGACCAGGTAGATCACGAACATCGGGAACAGCGGGATGAAGAACCAGAGTCCCTTCTGCGCCTCGACGATGTCGTTGAGATTGAGCGAGCCGACGCAGAGCAGCACGGTCACCAAGACGAAGCCGATCGAGACCTCGTAGGAGACCATCTGCGCCGCCGAGCGCAGCGCGCCGAGAAAGGCATACTTCGAGTTGCTGGCCCAGCCCGCAATGATGATGCCATAGACGCCGAGCGAGGAGACCGCAAACAGGTAGAGAAGCCCGACGTTCAGGTCGGCGAGTACGAGATGCTTGTCGAATGGGATCACCGACCAGCCGATGAGGCCAAGACTGAAGGTCACCATCGGCGCCAACACGAAGAGCATGCGGTTGGCGCCGGCGGGAACGATGGTCTCCTTGAACAGGCACTTGATCCCGTCCGCCACCGGCTGCAGCAGGCCGAAGGGGCCCACGACGTTGGGCCCCTTGCGGAGCTGGATCGCCGCCCAGACCTTGCGCTCGAAATAGGTGATGAAGGCGAGCGCCAGCAGCAGCGGCACCACGATCGCGAGGATGTACCCGACGGTCAGGAACAACGGGTGAAAATAGGTACTCCAGACGCCCGCCTCAGCCATGGCTGGCGGTTCCCTCCGCCACCGCGACGAACGCCGCGCTGCACTCGGTCATGGTCTGGGACGCGCGCGTGATCGGATCGGTCAGATAGAAGTCGCCGATGGGGGCAAGTGAAGGGCGCATCGCTCATGGTGCCGGCAGCGCCGAACTCGCCCCACGTCGCCGGGCTGAGCCGGTCGATCGCGGCCAGCGTCGGCGCCCGCTCCACCATGCGGGCGCGAAGCTCGTCCAGCGTATCGTAGGCGAGCGGCTTGCCGAGATGGGCCGAGAGCGCGCGCAGGATGCGCCAGTCTTCCCTGGCATCGCCGAGCGGCGCCGTCGCCGCGTAGGCCCGCTGCGGCCGGCCTTCCAGGTTGACGTAGGTTCCGGGCTTCTCGGTATAGGCGGCGCCCGGCAGGATCACGTCGGCGATGCGCGCGCCGGAATCTCCGTGGTGGCCCTGGTAGACGACGAAGCAGTTCTCAGGCCGCGCGAGGCCAAGCTCGTCCGCACCCAGCAGGTAGAGCAGGCGGATCGCGCCGCTGCCGGCGCCCTCGCAGATCGCCGCCGTATCGCGCCCGCCCTCGCCCGGCACGAAGCCGAGGTCGAGCCCGCCGACGCGGGCCGCCGCCGTGTGCAGCACGTTGAAGCCGTTCCATCCGTCGACGATCATGCCGAACGCCTCGGCCAGCGCCCTCGCCTGAGCCAGGACGGCCGCACCGTCCGGCCGCGTAAGCGCCCCCATGCCGACGATCATCATCGGCCGCTCGGCCGCCTTCAGGTCGTCAGCGAATGGGTGCTCGCCCGCCGCGAGCGCGGCGAGGCTCTCCGGCCCATCGCCCAGATGCTCGTACGGGAATGTGAGATCCGTCTCAGGCCCGATAGCCCCCACCTTGAGGCCGCCCCGGCGCCAGCGCTTGCGGATGCGCGCGTTGGCCAGCGCCGCCTCCCAGCGCGGATTGGTGCCAATCAGGAGGATGGCGTCGGTATCCTCGATTCCGGCGATGGTGGTGTTGAAGAGATAGGAGACACGGCTCGCCGGATCGAGCTTCGCGCCGTCCTGCCGGCAGTCGAGATGGGGCGAGCCCAGCGCCGCCATCAGATCGGCGAGCGCCGTCATCGCCTCACAATCGGCGCTATCGCCCGCGAGTGCGGCGATCTGGCCGCCCTCCAGGCCTTCTGCCGCCGCCGCGATCGCGTCGAACGCCTCGGCCCAGCTCGCCGCTTCAAGCCTGCCGTCGCGGCGCACGTAGCAGCGGTCGAGGCGGCGCCGGCGCAACCCGTCGCAGGCGAAGCGGCTCTTGTCGGAGATCCACTCCTCGTTCACATCGTCGTGCAGGCGCGGCACGACCCGCAGCACCTCGGTGCCCCGCGTATCGACCCGGATGTTGGAGCCGACAGCGTCGAGCACGTCGACGGTCTCGGTGGTCCTGAGCTCCCACGACCGAGCGACGAAAGCGTAAGGCTTCGAGGTCAGCGCACCGACCGGGCAGAGGTCGATCATGTTGCCGCTGAGTTCGGAGGTCACCGCCTTCTCGACATAGGTTCCGATTTCCATGTGCTCGCCGCGGAAGACTGCGCCGAACTCCTCGACGCCTGCGATCTCGTCGGCAAAGCGGATACAGCGCGTGCAATGGATGCAGCGCGTCATGATGGTCTCGATCAGCGGCCCGACATCCTTGTCGCGCACGGCGCGCTTGCCCTCATCGAAGCGGCTGAAATGGCGGCCGTAGGCCATGGCCTGGTCCTGCAGGTCGCACTCGCCGCCCTGATCGCAGATGGGGCAGTCGAGCGGGTGATTGATGAGCAGGAACTCCATCACCCCTTCCCGCGCCTTCTTCACCTCGGGCGTGTCGGTGCGGATAACCATACCGTCGGCGGCGGGCATCGCGCAGGAGGCGATCGGCTTCGGCGAGCGCTCCATCTCCACCAGGCACATGCGGCAGTTGCCGGCGATGGAGAGCCGGTCGTGATAGCAGAAGTGAGGGATTTCCTTGCCGGCCTGCACGCAGGCCTGCATCACCGTCGAGCCGGGCTCGACCGTGATCTCGGCGCCGTCGATAGTGAGCGTCGTCATCGGCTGCGTCCTCAGGCCGCGGCTGCGGCGGTAGCGGCAGCGTCACCGCCGCTCACCTTCGCGGCGAGGATCCGCCGCTCCAGCTCGGGCCGGAAGTGGCGGATCAGCCCCTGCACCGGCCAGGCGGCCGCGTCGCCGAGCGCGCAGATGGTGTGTCCCTCGATCTGGCCTACCACGTCCCACAGCAGGTCGATCTCTCCGACCGACGCCTCGCCCCTGATGAGGCGCAGCATGACGCGGTAGACCCAGCCCGTGCCTTCGCGACAGGGGGTACACTGGCCGCAGCTCTCGTGCATGTAGAAGTGGGAGAGCCGGGCGATGGCCTCGACCACGTCGGCCGACTTGTCCATCACGATCACCGCCGCCGTGCCGAGGCCGGATTTCACGCCCATCAGCGAATCGAAGTCCATCAGCACCTCGTCGCAGATCGACTTCGGCAGCAGCGGTACCGAGGCACCGCCGGGAATCACTGCCTGCAGATTATCCCAGCCGCCGCGCACCCCGCCCGCGTGCTTCTCGATCAGCTCGCGCATGGGGATGCCCATCTCCTCTTCCACGTTGCACGGCTGATTGACGTGGCCGGAGATGCAAAAGACCTTGGTGCCGGTGTTCTTGGGCCGGCCGATGCCGGCGAACCATTCCGCGCCGCGCCGCAGGATCGTGGGCACGACGGCAATCGTCTCGACATTGTTAACCGTCGACGGGCACCCGTAGAGCCCGACCGCCGCTGGGAACGGCGGCTTGAGGCGGGGCTTGCCCGGCTTGCCTTCGAGGCTCTCCAGCAGCCCGGTCTCTTCGCCGCAGATGTAGGCACCGGCGCCGCGGTGCAGGTAGACGTCGAAGGGCCAGTCGGTGCCGCACGGGTTCTTGCCGATCAGGCCCGCGTCGTAGGCTTCGTCGATCGCCGCCTGGAGCGCGACCGCCTCGTCGTAGAACTCGCCGCGAATGTAGATGTAGGCGGCATGCGCCCGCATGGCGAAGCCTGCAATGAGGCACCCCTCGATCAGCTTGTGCGGATCGTGGCGCATCATGTCCCGGTCCTTGCAGGTGCCGGGCTCGCTCTCGTCGGCATTGACCACGAGGTAGTAGGGCCGGCCGGGGGCCTCCTCCTTCGGCATGAAGGACCACTTGAGCCCCGTCGGGAAGCCGGCGCCGCCGCGCCCGCGCAGCCCGGACTCCTTGATCTGATCGATGATCCAGTCATGGCCCTTGGCCATCAACGCCGCCGTGCCGTCCCAATCGCCCCGCGCGCGGGCGCCGGCCAGCCCACAGTCGTGGGCACCGTAGAGGTTGGTGAAGATGCGGTCTGAATCGCGGAGCATGCTCAAAGCTCGGTCAGTGTCGTCGGGCCGGAGGCGGGCGCCGAGGTCTGGCGGCCGGTCTGCGGGCCGGGCGTGGACGGGTCCCCGGCCTTGAAGGCGCGCAAGATATCCTTCATGCGTGCCGGGTCGAGATCCTCGTAGAAATGATCGTTGATCTGCACCATGGGGGCGTTGACGCAGGCGCCGAGGCACTCGACCTCGGTCAGCGTAAAGTGACCGTCCTCCGTGGTTTCGCCCAGGCCGATGCCGAGCTCGTCGCGGCAAGCATCGCGGAGCGCATCCGAGCCACGCAGCCAGCAGGGCGTCGTCCGGCAGAGCTGCACGTGATAGCGGCCGACCGGCTCCAGGTTCAGCATCGTGTAGAAGGTGGCGACCTCGTAGACCCGGATCGACGCCATGTCGAGCAGCGCGGCGACATACTCCATCACCGCCTGGGAGATCCAGCCACCGTTCTGGCGCTGCGCGAGGTCGAGCAGAGGCAGCACCGCGCTCGCCTGACAACCCGCCGGGTACTTGGCGATCACGGCATCCGCGTTGGCCTGATTCTCGGGCGTAAAGGCGAAAGCCTCGACGCTGGAGACCGTTCAGCCGTCACCGGTCGATCTCCCCGAACACGATGTCCATGCTTGCAAGATTGGCCACCGCGTCCGCCAGCATGTGGCCCTTGCTCATGTGGTCGAGGACTTGGAGGTGGGCGAAGCCGGGCGCCCGGATCTTGCAGCGGTAGGGCCGGTTCGTGCCGTCGGCAACGAGATAGACCCCGAACTCGCCCTTCGGCGCCTCCACCGCCCGGTAGGCCTCGCCCGCCGGCACGTGATAGCCCTCGGTGTAAAGCTTGAAGTGATGGATCAGGGCCTCCATCGACTCCTTCATCTCGGCCCTGGACGGCGGCGTGATCTTGTTGTCCTGGACCTTGACCCGCCCTTCCGGCATCTTTTCAAGACATTGAGCGATTATCTTGACGCATTGCCTCATCTCCTCCACGCGGACGAGATAGCGCTCGTAGCAATCGCCGTTGGTGCCGATGGGCACCCCGAAATCGAGCGCGCTGTAGACCTCGTAGGGCTGGTTGCGGCGCAAGTCCCAGGAAACCCCGGAGGCGCGCAGCACGGGCCCGGTGAGCGCCCAGTCGAAGGCCTCTTGAGCGCTCAGGATACCGATATCGACCGTCCGCTGCTTGAAGATGCGGTTTTCGGTCAGCACGTTCTCGATGTCGTCGACGACCTTGGGGAAGGCCTCGTTCCACGCGCCGATATCGGAAAGTAGCTCCGGGGCAAGATCGTAGGCAACGCCACCGGGGCGGAAGTAGGCGGCATGGAGGCGGGAGCCCGAGGCCCGCTCGTAGAACTCCATGGTGCGCTCGCGTTCCTCGAATCCCCAGAAGAAGGGAGTCATCGCGCCGACGTCGAGCGCCATGGTGCAGACGTTCATTAGATGGTTGGCGATGCGCGAAATCTCGCTGTAGAGGACGCGGATGTATTGCGCGCGCTCCGGGATTTCGAGCCCGAGCAGAGCTCCACGGCGAGCGCGATAGGCGTGTTCCTGGTCATCGGCGCGACATAGTCGAGCCGGTCGAAAGTAGGGCACCGCCTGCAGGTAGGTTTTGTACTCGATCAGCTTCTCGGTGCCGCGGTGCAGCAGGACCGATGTGCGGGTCCGCGCGCTCGACCACCTCGCCGTCCATCTCCAGCACCAGGCGCAGCACGCCGTGCGCCGCCGGATGCTGCGGCCCGAAATTCAGGGTCATGTTGCGGATCTGGCGCTCGCTCACGACTCGCGCCCGTCTTCGTCGGCTTTCCGGCTCCGCCTTTCTCATCGCCCGGCAATGGGTAGGACGCCCCTTCCCAGGGGCTCAGGAAGTCGAAGCGGCGATATTCCTGGGTGAGCTTCACCGGCTCGTACACGACCCGCTTCTGCTCGCTGTCGTAGCGAAGCTCGACATAACCGGTAAGCGGAAAGATCCTTGCGCAGCGGATGGCCGTCGAACCCGTAGTCGGTGAGCAGCCGGCGCAGGTCCGGATTGCCGGCGAAGTAGATGCCGTAAAGGTCCCAGGCCTCGCGCTCCCACCATCCGGCGGACGCGTACACCCCCGTCGCCGACGGCACGGGCTCGTCCTCGTTGACGCCGATCCTGAGGCGCAGTCGCCGATTGTGGCTCATGCTGAGCAAGTGATAGACGACATCGAAGCGCGGGTCGCGCTCTGGGTAATCGACGCCGCAAAGATCGGTAAGCTGCTCGAAACGGCAGCGCGAATCGTCCTTCAGGAACTTGAGGACACGTACGACCCGGTCCGCGCGCGCATCGACCACGAGCTCGTCGCGCACGACGTCAGCCGCGCGCACATAGTCGCTCAGACTAGTCGCGACATACTCGCCGAGGTCGCGTAGGCCGGCCGTGTCCATCCCCTCGCCCGCTCCGGTCGCGCGCTAGCGCGCGATAGTCCCCGTTCGCCTAATCTTCCGCTGCAGTTGCATGATGCCGTAAAGCAGCGCTTCGGCCGTCGGCGGACAGCCGGGGACATAAATATCGACCGGGACGACACGGTCGCAGCCCCGCACCACCGAATAGGAATAGTGATAGTAGCCGCCGCCGTTGGCGCAGCTTCCCATCGAGATGACGTAGCGGGGCTCCGGCATCTGGTCATAGACCCGCCGGAACGCGGGCGCCATCTTGTTGCAGAGGGTGCCGGCAACGATCATTACATCCGATTGCCGCGGGCTCGCCCGCGGAACCATGCCGATGCGGTCGATATCGTAGCGGGACGCAATGGTCTGCATGAACTCGACCGCGCAGCAGGCAAGCCCGAAGGTCATCGGCCAGAGCGAGCCCGTCCGCGCCCAGTTTATGATGTTGTCGAGCTTGGCGACGACGAAACCCTTGTCGTTCAACTCGTCGCTGACCAGCGCGAGCGCCTGGTCCTGGGCCGACCCTGCCGGCAGCGGCTCACCTGGCAGGCCGACGGTCGTGGTCCCTACTCCCATTCGAGCGCGCCCTTCTTCCATTCGTAGACGAAGCCGATCGTGAGCAGTCCGAGGAAGACGATCATCGACCAGAACCCGTACAGCCCGATCTCGCTGAACGAGACGGCCCAGGGGAAGAGAAAGGCGACCTCGAGATCGAAGATGATGAAGAGGATCGCCACAAGATAGAAGCGGACGTCAAAGCGGCCGCGGGCATCTTCGAAGGCGTCGAAGCCGCACTCATAGGCGGCAAATCTTGTCGCGATCGGGCCGCTGAGGAGCAAGCACGTAAGAGCCAGCGATGGCAGCGATGGCCATCACGCCGGCAATGCCGAGAAAGATGACGATGGGCAGATATTCGAGGAGGAGTTCGGTCGACGCGGTCATCGGTTACTTCCCGCCAACCATCCCGGTGCGCCTGACAGGCCACGCCCGGAACCCCTACGGCATTCGCGCCGCGGCCAGCCTCGACCGCCCCCGAATCCCGAAGCCTGCATCAAAACGGCACCCCGCTGCAGCTCTTCCCGTCCCGGCGCTACAGAAGCGGCGCGCCCAGGGATATGGCGGGAGTGACGGGACTCGAACCCGCGACCTCCGGCGTGACAGGCCGGCGCTCTAAACCAAGCTGAGCTACACCCCCGACGGATCCGGCGGCAAGCCATCGCCGCGCCGGCCGTCCCCATGTAGAGCAGGGGTCCGGCGGGGTCAAGCCGCTTGGCCACGGCTTTGATTGGCGAGGGTTGCACGCTCCGAGGCTGCTCCTCCGGCGGAGAGCCTCGGACGCTTGCATTACGGGTGCAGCCAGCGCTTGGTGGGCGGTGACGGGCTCGAACCGCCGACCTCTTGGGTGTAAACCAAGCGCTCTCCCAGCTGAGCTAACCGCCCGCGCTAACCGGCGGGGCTGCGATCAGGTGTTGACCGCGTCCTTGAGCGTTTTGCCGGCTTTGAACTTCGGCTGTTTGGAAGCGGGAATCGAAATCGATTCGCCGGTACGCGGATTGCGCCCGCTTGTAGCCTTCCTCTCGACAACACTGAACGACCCGAATCCCGCCAGTCTGACGTCGGAGCCGCTCTGAAGCATTTCAGTAATGGCGCCGAACACGCTGTCCACCGCGCGTGCAGCGTCGGCGCTGGAGATGTCCGCGCCGCTCGCGACTGCCTTGATCAGCTCAGCCTTGTTCATTGCTCGCTCCCATTTCGCTCTCGGTGGAAGGATACGGACGTTCGCGAATACCGACTCGACCGCGAAAGTGTGGGCGCGACAATGCAAGGCGTCAACGGTTTCGGCCAGCTATAACAATATGTCGGCGCCGACATAGCCGGGCCGCGGTTGAGTGCTTGTGGTTGCAGCTGCTCGAATCTCCCGCTCGTCTTGAACGGCGATGCACATGCCCGGCCGGCGCCAATCCGAGCCGCTCGGATCGGCGTCAGAAGGTATGGCGCCAGCCGGCGAGGAGGGTGAGGTCGGGCTCCGCCGCGGCTGCGTGTCCAGGATGACGGGTCCAAGCGGCGCCTAAGCGCAGCTCACCGCCGGTCGAGAGCATCCGTCGCCACTGAGCCGTAACCTCGATCTGCCGGCCCGTGGGCACGAGATCGGCGGTCACCGGGCGCCGGCGCACCAGGCCATCCTTTGTACGGCCGACCGGAACGGAAAGGCTGGCGTGGCCGGACTCGACACGAAGGGGCTGCGACAGCGAGAGTGTGAACGTATCCCCGTCATTCAACGGTCGTACCGCCTGGAGCGCGAAGGCGCTCGTGATGAGCGGCGAAACGTCGGCGATCAGCCCGCCCTGCACCGACGTGCTGACCGTCCCGATCTCAGCGCCGGCGCCGAGCCGCCAGGCGCCGACCCGCGCGCGCGCCTCGATGCCGGCGAACGCAGAATCCGCCGTCATCCGCCCGAACGCGCCGGCTGCCCTGCTGCCGAGAAGCGCCTCGCGCTCACCCACCCAGCCGCCGTGCACACCGAGCGGCGCGCCTTCCGGCCACCAATCGAGTGTTGCCCCCGACGCCGGCGCCTGCCCGTCCAAGCCTTCGGTGGAGAAGGCGGCGGCGCTGAGACTCCCCTGCCCTGCCGTGCTCAGAGTCAGCGCCCGCCCGGCGAGCGAGAGGTGCCCGGCGTCCTCGCCCAGCGGGGACGCATCCAGCATGCCGAGCCGGAGCGGGGCGCCGCTGCCGGTGCCATCGACGCTCTGCACCGCACCGAGCGAGGGACGCCACGACGGGGTCTCCCACTCTGACTGGGGTTGCGCCATGAAGCCCCGCAGCCGCGTACGCGCCGCGGGGCCGTCTGCGGTATCGGTGAAGGAGTCGAGCGCGTACCAGAACGGCGCGCCCAGATCGTCGAAGGCTGCGATCTCGTGCCCGGCAAGGGCCTGCGTCAGCCCGTCGCCGAGCGCGTCGCCCAATCCGAGACCGGTGGCCGTCAGATCGACGGCGGCACCCTCCACCCGCTGGTCGATAGCAATGCGGGGCGAGCCCACGGGCGAGGTTGCGGCAGCCAGGTCCAGCAGGCCCTGGCCGTAAACATCTGCGTCGGCATAGATGCCGCTCTTGTCGGCCGTCGCCAGGAGCCGCGCGACCAGATCCGTATTCAGTAGCTCGGCACGAAAGTAATCCTTCATCACCACCAGCGCGCCCGTCACCATGGGCGCGGCAAAGGATGTTCCGTCAGCGACCGCGCCGAGCCGCAATCCCGGAGTGTCGTCGTCGGGATGGGGCCCGAAATAGGCCACCCAGACGTCGACTCCGGGCGCTGCGATGCACCAATCTTTGGCAATGCCGCAGCGATTGGAAAACTCATCGCGATCTCGTGATCCCGTCCCCGTCACCATCGGGAGCGACGGCCACGACGGCGATGAGGTTTCCGCGCAGCTCGCCGGATGCGCGCCGGGCAAGCCGGCCAAGATTCGAAAATTACGACGACTTGGCGTTGCACTCTCCCGCGTACGCGAGATCTGGTTTGTCGGTGAGTCCGAGTCGTCGCAGGGGTCGCTGTGGGCGTTGCCGGCGGACCAGACGAAGACGGTCATGTCGGTCTTAGCCGGCCTGTGCACCACCCTCCGCGATCGAGTCGAGAAATTGCGGGCGCGTTTCTCTCTTCGCTGTACTGATCGATGATCCCGTGGTACACGCTCACGTTGACGAACTCGAGTGTCCGCCCACCGCTCGACAGTTGAGAATCTGAGTGAGCCCAGACGCCCATAGCTCGTCATACGTGGTTGGGCCGGTCAGGGTGAGCGGATGGTAAGTGCCGCCTCCGACCACGCGTCGGATGGCGAACATCGCGATGTCCGGCTCCCCACGGCAACCCCGTGCGCGGCGTTCGACTCCGACGTTTGCGAGCGCGGCGCCCAGCCGGCCGAGATGACGCTCGCGACTGCCCAGTAATCCGTGGAGAAAGCCGTTCGCCGGTGTCGTCCCTCGGCCGCTCCGAGAGATGTTCCGTCACTGTCTGCCGGCGAACACCGGTGCACCTCATCTGATCCCGGTTGTCAATAATCCGACTCGTCTTGCGCTGCCGGGTGCGAGACCGATTTCCGTGCTCCAGTTCAGTTGCGCGTAGGCGCGTCCGCACGAATGCTTCCAGACCCCACTATGATTCTTGAAGGCGTCCTCGTTGGCAGTGCGTCCTCGATAGTTTGGCGTTCCGCTTCGTACCTCTCCGGCAAATAGCAGCCGAGGACCGTTTGAACGCATGCCGGCATGACAACTGTGGGCGGCGGATCGGACGTGGGCGGCGCCGCGGTTGCGGCTGCCATCTGTCGCCGCCACCACTGCCGCAGCGAAACGACCGCACAACTGGGCCCGCAGCAAGCAGCAGGATCACAAGACTTGGATGAATCTTCTCGGACGCGACACCGCGGCTTCGCTTCGTAGTCTCTGCTCTACTGACAGAATACGTCTGGTGAAATGGCGGGGCGAGATGCTCGGAGATGTCCTGGGACGATGAATGACTGAGCATATCGTTAACTCACAGCAATTCATGCGTACGCCATGCAGCGCAGAGTATAACGGACGGCGAGGGCGATCAGCCACCGAGACGAAGTGCATGGGAGACAGCGAATGAAAGCAGTGGTGCTTACCGAAGAGGGTCTGGCGCTTCGCGAGGTGCCGGCGCCCGAGCCCAAGCCAAACGAGGTCTTGGTCAAGGTCGCCGCCAGCGGGTTGAACCGGGCGGACCTGATCATGGCGGCCGGGAGGCCACACGGGGCGCTCGGCGGTGCTGGCGCGATCGCGGGGCTCGAATGGGCCGGCGAGGTTGCCGCCGTCGGCGCCGAAGTGCCCGAGTTCCGGCCTGGCGATCAGGTCATGTGCTCGGGCGCCGGCGGCTATGCCGAGTACGCCGTCACCGACTGGGGCCGGGTGTGCCCCGTGCCCAAGGCCGTGCCGGGCCTGTCGAGGCGGCGACGCTGCCCATCGCGCTTCAGACCATGCACGACGCGCTGGTCACCAACGGCCGGCTCGCCGCAGGCGAGTCCGTGCTGATCCAGGGCGCGAGCTCCGGTGTCGGGCTCATGGCAATCCAGATCGCCCGCCTGAAGGGCGCCGGCGCGGTGCTTGCCACCTCGCGCGATGCCGGCCGGCGCGCCCGCCTCACCGAGTTCGGCGCCGATCTCGCCCTCGATCCCGGCGATCCAGGCTGGGTGGAGCAGGCGCGCGAAGCGACCGGCGGCAAAGGGCGTTGACCTCACCATCGATCAGGTCTCGGGTGGGCTCGCCAATCAGACGATGCAGGCGGCGGCGGTGCTGGGCCGCATCGTCAACGTTGGCCGCCTCGGCGGCTTCACCGGCGAATTCGACTTCGATCTGCATGCGCTGAAGCGCATCGATTATATCGGCGTGACCTTCCGCACACGCACGGTCGACGAAGTGCGCGCCATCAACGCCGCCATGCGCGCCGACATCTGGAACGCGGTTGAGAACGGCACGCTGAGCCTGCCCATCGACCGCACCTTCCCCCTGGATAAGGCGGCGGAGGCGCAGGCGCACATGCGGGCCAACGCTCATTTCGGCAAGATCGTTCTCACCGTCTGAGACGTAGCCCGCCGGACGGGCGGGGGCGGCTCTTACGCGGGTGGCGGCTCCGCCCCGGTCCGGCTGGTATTGAGGCCGTAGTGCTCGATCCGCCGGTGCGCGGCGAAGTTGAAGATGGTCTCGCGGATATAGACCCCCCGCCCCAGATCGATCGGCGCGGTCACCACCTCGTCGCCCTCGGTCTGGGCTTGGGCCGCGATCTCTCCGGTCGGTGCGATGATGCAGCTTCCGCCCATGTGGTGAATGCCTTCCTCCATGCCGGCCTTGGCCGAGGCGACCACCCAGGTGCCGTTCTGATAGGCGCCGGCCTGCATGGAGAGGTGGTTATGGAACATGCCGAGATGAGGCGCCTCCTCACCCTTCGCGAATGGATTGGTGCTCGGCGTGTTGTAGCCGAGCATGACAAGCTCCACGCCCTGAAGGCCCATGACCCGATACGTCTCGGGCCAACGCCGGTCGTTGCAGATGCACATCCCCATCACGCCGTCCATGGAGCGGAACACGGGGAAGCCCAAATCGCCGGGCTCGAAATAGCGCTTCTCCAGATGCTGGTGTGTTTGGCCGGGCTGCGGCTCGGCATGGCCGGGGATATGAACCTTGCGGTATTTCCCGGCGATCTGCCCGTCGCGATCGACAATGATGGCCGTATTGAAATAGCGCTTTGAACCGTCGTCTTCGATGACCATCTCAGCGTAGCCGAGGTGGAATCCGATACCCAGCTCCGCCGCCGCGGCGAAGAGCGGCTGGGTCTCGTTGTTCGGCATCTCGGCTTCGAAATAGCTGTCCAGCTCCTCGGGATCGTCGATGACCCAACGCGGAAAGAAGGTGGTGAGCGCCAGCTCCGGAAACACCACGAGCGTGGCGCCCGCCTGGTTCGCGGTGTGCAGCATCGCGATCAGCCGGTCGATCACTTGCGAGCGCGTGTCGGCGCGGGCGACCGGCCCCATCTGCGCCGCAGCAACGGTGAACTGCCTCGACATCGGCTCCTCCCTCGGTGCGGCGCGCCGTTCCCGCCGGCCCGGAGCCTGCATCCCGCCGGCTGCTGGGCGAAGGCGCGCCGTCAGGCTGCCATGATAGGTGCCGACGCCGCACCCCGCCAAGATGCCGCCGGCGGAGAGACCCAAATCTCTGCTCGATGTTGCCGTTTCCCTGAAGCGAATATTCTGGCGGCGACGCAACGCGGCAGGTACACAAGGCTGACCACAAGCGGGATCGCGGGACGATGAGGAGGACGGTCAATCACCCCGGGGGGCCGGGGCACCGGCGCCTTCCCCCGAGATGAAGGAGGACGCGTCCCCGCCGCGTCTCATTCAGCCGCCGCGCAGGCGCGGCCTCCTCGCGCGCCTCAGGACATACTTCTTCACCGGCGTCGTCGTCACCGCGCCGATCGGCATCACGGTATGGCTGCTCTGGCTGGTAGTCGATCTCTTCGACCGGGCCGTGGTCCCGCTCATCCCCGACGCCTACAACCCCGCCGACCTTCTGGGCAGGAACGTGCCCGGTGTTGGCATCGTGATCGCGCTCATCCTGGTCACAACGGTCGGCGCCCTGTTCGCCAACGTCGCCGGGCGCTTCCTGGTCCGCTTCGGTGAAGGCTTGGTCGCCCGCGTGCCGGTGGTGCGCACGGTCTATGGCGTACTCAAGCAGATTTTCGACGCGGTGCTGGCGCAGTCGGCCAACGCCTTTCGCGAAGTGGTGCTGATCGAGTATCCGCGCCGCGGCATATGGGTCATCGGCTTCGTCACCAGCCCAACGCGGGGCGAGGTGCAACGGGTCACGGAGGACGAGATGGTCAATGTGTTCCTCCCCACCACACCCAATCCGACCTCGGGCTTTCTCCTGTTCGTGCCCCGAAAGGACTGCATCCCGCTGGATATGACCGTGGAAGAGGGCGTCAAGCTCGTGATCTCCGGCGGCATCGTCAGCCCGCCGGATGCCAAGCCCGGAGCCAGAGCCCAACCCGAGGCCGAAGCAGAGGACGAGAACCGCGCGCCCGTGGCCGAACGACCCGACGCCTAGCCTGCAATTCTCATCGGGGTCGCGATCCGGCTCCCCGCTCCACCTCGGGCAAGCATTAAAGTTGAAGCGGGATTCGCCGGGATTAATTGGGATTAAGTGGGATAAGCGGGATTCCGCGGGACAGGCGGCGGCACGGACCGTGGGCAGCAATCTCCCGCCGAGACTACGCCCGCTCAACCTGTGGGCTATGGCCCGCTCGCTCTCGCGCTCCATGGCGCCAAGCTGACGCAGGCAGCGCACGCCGTGCACCGCACCACTGTCCGGGGTGTTAACCCTGCGCTTGCGGCGGGGTCATGAGGCTCTTATGACTCGCTGGAGGAGTCGCGGCGGTACGGGGTGTGGCGCAGCCAGGTAGCGCATCTGCTTTGGGAGCAGAGGGTCGCCGGTTCAAATCCGGCCACCCCGACCAGCGCGCGGGCCCGACACGGGCCCCGCGGTACGTCAGAATTGACTTCTAAAACAACTGGTTACACGAATTTGGGTTCGTTTTGTAATTTCGTGTTTCGGCGGCCCGCGCTCAGCCCACGCCGAAGCTCTCGCCGCAGCCGCAGGTGCTGGTGACGTTGGGGTTGTTGAAGACGAAGGTGGCGCTGAGCTTTTCTTCGCTGAAGTCGAGCTCGGTGCCGATCAGGAACATCACCGCGGCCGGGTCCACCACCACCGTGACCCCGCGCTGCGAGATCACTTCGGCGCCGGGAGACACTTCCTCCGCATAGTCCATGGTGTAGGACATGCCGGAGCAGCCGGCGTTCCTGATCCCGATCTTGATGCCGAGGGCGGTCTCGGCATCGGAGGGCCTGAGCGACATCAGGTGGTTGATGCGCTCTGCGGCGCGTTCGCTGATGGTGAGTATGTCCTTCATCGCAAATCCCACGTGGCTGATGGCGGCTACATGAAGCCGAGTTCGAGCTGGGCGGCCTCCGACATCATGTCGGGGTTCCAGGGCGGATCCCACACCAGCTCGACTCCGACGTCGCCGATCCCCTCCACCATGGTCGCGACCGCGTGCTCGACCATGCCGGGCATGCTGCCGGCGACCGGGCAGCCGGGCGTCGTCAGTGTCATGCATATGCGGGCGTCGTTGGCCTCGTTCAAGGTCACGCCGTAGACGAGGCCGAGCTGGTAGATGTCCACCGGAATCTCAGGGTCGTAGACCGAGCTCAAGGCCCGCGCGATCTGCCCCGCAAGCGGGTGGTCGGGGCTCAGGCCCGGCGGGGTCGGCAGGGTGTCGGCGGCCTCGGGCGCGGCCTCGATCAGTTGCGGCGCGAGCTCGCCGCCGCCGATGGCGCCTGGCGGCCCTTCCGGCGACCACGGCTCGTAGCTCGGCGGCGCTGCAGCCGGCGATGGGGGGCGGCTCGACCGCCTTGGGTGGGCTGGCCGGCTCGGGCTGCTGCTCGGCCGGGCGCTTCTTGCGGAACAGGTTCATCATTCCGTTGTGATCTCCTCGCTCTCGCTCTCGCCCTTGAGCGCCGCCTTCATCGTGTGCCAGGGAAGCGTCGCACACTTGACCCGCATCGGGAACTCCCGCACGCCCGCAAGCACGATCAGCTTGTCCAGATCGGGCATCTCGAAGCCGGGCTCGCAGGCCGGATCCGACGACGCCACCAGGGAATGAAAGCCTGAGAACATCGCCTGAACTTCTTCGAGCGACTTGCCGTGCAGCATCTCGGTCATCATCGAGGCCGAGGCCATCGAGATGGCGCAGCCCCTGCCCTCGAAGCCGATATCCGTAACCACACCGTCGGCGACGGCGAGATAGATGGTCACCGTATCCCCGCAGAGCGGATTGTGGCCGTGGGATTCGCCCGTCACCGACGGCGGTCGGCCGAAATTGCGCGGCGACTTGCCGTGGTCGAGGATCACCTCCTGATAGAGCTCGCGGAGCTCGGACATCAGCCGAAAATCTCCCGCACCTCGTCAAGACCGTCGATCAGGCGGTCGATATCGGCCCGCGAATTGTAGAGGCCGAAGGACGCACGCACGGTGCCCGCGATACCGAAGTGGTCCATCAGCGGCTGCGCGCAATGATGGCCGACACGTACCGCCACGCCGGCCCGGTCGAGAATCGTCCCGACATCGTGGGAATGCACGTCGTCCATCGTGAAGGAGATGATGGCGGCCTTGCCGGGCGCGGTTCCCGTAGAGGCGGACACTGTTGAGCGCTGCGAGCCGTCTCGCTCGCGTAGGTCAGCAGGTCATGCTCGTGGGCGGCGACGGCGGAGGGATCGAACGATGCGACATAGTCGATCGCGGCGTGAAGGCCGACGGCTACCCGCGATCGGCGGCGTGCCTGCCTCGAAGCGTGCCGGCGGCGGGGCGAAAGTCGTCCGCTCGAAAGTGACACGCTCGATCATGTCGCCGCCGCCCTGATAGGGCGGCATGGCCGCGAGCAGCGCCTCCTTGCCGTAGAGCACGCCGATACCGCTCGGCCCATAGAGCTTGTGACCCGAGAAGCAGTAGAAATCCACGTCCATCGCCTGCACGTCGACGGGGCAGTGAACGATGCCCTGCGCGCCGTCGATCAGAACCAGAGCGCCACGGTCGCGCGCAATGCGCACGATCTCATCCACAGGCGTCACGGTGCCGAGCGCGTTGGAGACGTGGGTGAGCGCCACCAGCTTCGTGCGCGGCCCGACCAGCGCCTCGTAAGCATCGAGCGGGAAGTCGCCGCGCTCGTCGGTCGGCACCACCTTGAGCACGATGCCCGTCCGCTCGCGCAGCAGCTGCCACGGCACGATGTTGGCGTGGTGCTCAAGCACCGAGAGCACCACCTCGTCGCCTTCGCCGAGGAAGGCGCCGCCCCAGCTCGTGGCGACCAGGTTGATCGCCTCCGTCGCGCCCTTGGTGAACACGATCTCGCTCGCCGAGCGGGCATTCACGAAGCGCTGCACCCTGGCGCGCGCACCCTCGTAGGCTTGGGTCGCCTTCGCGCTCAGCTCGTAGACGCCGCGGTGGATGTTGGCGTACTCGGCCTCGTAGCACTGCGAGATGGCGTCGATCACCGCACGCGGCTTCTGGGCGCTCGCGCCGCTATCGAGGAAGACCAGAGGCTTGCCGTGAACGGTGCGCGAGAGGATCGGGAAATCCGCGCGCACACTGTCGGCGTCGAACGGCGCCGCAACGGCCGCCGGTCGATCGAGGCGTTGGGCGGGAGCGGTGCTCATACCTCGTCGACCTTCCCGATCCAGTCCGCGAGGCGCGCGGCCAGCGCCGCCCGAACCGGCTCGTGACCGATCCCTTCCAGCAGCTCGCCCATGAAACCCTCGACGATCAGCGCAAGGGCGGTCCTGTGATCGAGGCCGCGCGAGCGCATGTAGAAGAGCTGGTCGGCCTCCGGCTCGCCAGCCGTCGCCCCGTGGCTGCACTTGACGTCGTCGGCGTAGATTTCCAGCTCGGGCTTGGAGTCGATCTCCGCCTTGGGCGAGAGCAACAGCGTGCGGTTGAGCTGGTGGCCGTCGGTCTTCTGCGCGTCCTGGCGCACGATGATCTTGCCCTGAAAGACCCCGCGTGCCGTATCGTCGAGCACGCCCTTGTAGACCTCGCGGCTTTCGCAGGCAGGCACCCGGTGGTCGATCACGGTCGTGTTGTCCACGTGTTGATTGCCACGCGCCATGTAACCGCCGCCAAGCAGGCACCGGGCCCCCTCGCCGTCGAAGCGGACGTGGATTTCGTGGCGCGCAAGGCGGGCGCCGAGCGCCAGCAAGTGGCTCTCGTACCTCGCCCCGCCCGCCAGCACCGCCTTGGTCAGCGCGGTGTGATAGGCGCCGTCACCCTCGATCTGGAGCTTGACGTGGCTGAGCGTCGCCCGCTCGCCGACCTGGACGTCCACGAGCGGGTTGGACCAGGTTGCCGCGCCTGCCGGCCCCTCGTGGCACTCGACCAGGGTGAGCCGGCTGCCCGCGCCAAGGCGCACGATCACACGCGGATGGTACGCGAGCGGCTCACTGCCGGGCACCGCCACGAAGCGCAGCCGCACCGGCTGCTCCACCGCCACACCGGGTTCGGTCTCGACGATGCAGCCGTCGGCGACAAACGCCGCATTGAAGGCGGCCATGAGATCGCCATTCAGCGGCGCAGCCTCGCCGATCCGCACCTCGACCGATTCCGGATCGTCCGCCAGTCCCTGCGCCAGCCCGACGATACGCACGCCCTGAGGCAGGGCATCGACCCGCGAATGGCGCTCGGAGAGCCGGCCGTTGACGAATACCAGCGACGGCCCGTCTACCGCGTCGAGGGCGTCGGAGCCCAAATCGGCCTCCGTAAGCGCCTCCTCCGCAGAAGCCGGGGCCAGAAAGTCCAGCGCCGCGAGCGGCGCTAAATTGGTGTACTTCCACGCCTCCATGCGGGTGCCGGGCAGCCCGTCCGCGCTCAGGCGGCGCGCCTCGGCCCGAAGCGCATCGAGCCATGGCAGGCCCTCGCCCGGCAGCGCCGCCGCCATGGCGCCGGATGCGGGATAGTCGAAGGGAATGGTCCGCCGGCTGGCCATGGCCCGGAATCTCCGCTCAGGCCGCCGCGCTCGGTTCGAGCCCGAAGCCGGCATAGCCGCTCTTCTCGAGCTCAAGCGCAAGCTCTCTGCCGCCGGAGTTGACGATGCGACCGCCCGAGAGCACGTGCACCTTGTCCGGCACGACGTGGTCGAGAAGCCGCTGGTAGTGGGTGATGACCACCATGGCACGCTCGGGCGTACGCATCGCGTTGATACCGCCGGCGACGATTTTCAGCGCGTCGATGTCGAGCCCCGAATCGGTCTCGTCGAGGATGGCGAGGGTGGGCTCCAGCAGTACCATCTGGAGCATCTCGTTCCGCTTCTTTTCGCCGCCCGAAAACCCCACGTTGAGGGCGCGTCGAATCATGCTGTCGTCGATCCCGAGGTCCGCGCGATTCGCCTTGAGCACCTTGAGGAACTCCATCGCGTCGTATTCTTTCTCCCCGCGATGCTTGCGGCTGGCATTGACCGCCGTCTTGAAAAAGGTGGCGCTGCCCACGCCCGGGATCTCGACCGGGTACTGGAAGGCGAGAAAGACGCCGTTCAGCGCGCGCTCTTCCACGCTCATGGCAAGCAGATCGTGGCCCTGGTAAGTGATCGAGCCTCCGGTCACCTCGTAGCCCTCGCGGCCCGCGATGACGTAGGAGAGTGTGCTTTTGCCGGAGCCGTTGGGCCCCATGACCGCATGCACCTCGCCCGCGTTCACCTCGAGGTCGAGGCCGGTCAGGATCGGCTTGCCATCGGCGGTCGCGTGTAGGTTCTCAATCGTCAGCATGGCTTTCGGCTTGCTCTTCAAACAGGAGGTTGAAACGGGGTACGCGGTGTCGTCCTAGCCGACGCTGCCTTCCAGGCTGATCGCCACCAGTTTTTGGGCCTCGACGGCGAACTCCATCGGCAGCTCCTGCAGCACCTCGCGGCAGAAGCCGTTGACGATGAGCGCGACGGCGTCCTCCTCGTCGATGCCGCGCTGGCGGCAGTAGAAGAGCTGGTCCTCGCTGATCTTGGAGGTTGTCGCCTCGTGCTCGACACGCGCTCTCGGGTTGCGCGATTCGATGTACGGCACGGTATGGGCGCCGCATTTGTCGCCGATCAGCAGCGAATCGCATTGGGTGTGGTTGCGCGCGCCTTCGGCCTTGGGCTGGATGCGAACGAGGCCGCGATAGGTGCTGTCCGAACGCCCGGCGGCGATGCCCTTGGAGACGATCCGGCTCTTCGTGTTGCGGCCGATGTGGATCATCTTGGTGCCGGTATCCGCCTGCTGGCGGTTGTTGGTGATGGCGATCGAGTAGAACTCACCCACCGAGTTGTCGCCCTGGAGGATACAGCTCGGATACTTCCAGGTGATCGCCGAGCCCGGTTCCACCTGCGTCCAGGAGATCTTGGCGTTGGCGCCGCGGCAGGCGCCGCGCTTGGTGACGAAGTTGTAGATCCCGCCCTTGCCGTCGGCGTCGCCCGGATACCAGTTCTGCACCGTGGAGTACTTGATTTCGGCATCATCGAGCGCGATCAGCTCGACCACGGCGGCATGGAGCTGGTTCTCGTCGCGCATCGGCGCCGTACAGCCTTCGAGATAGCTCACGTAGGAGCCCTCGTCGGCGATGATGAGCGTGCGCTCGAACTGGCCGGTGTTGGCGGCGTTGATGCGGAAGTAGGTGGAAAGCTCCATCGGGCAGCGCACGCCCTTCGGCACGTAGACGAAGGAGCCGTCGGTGAACACCGCCGAGTTCAGGGTCGCGAAGAAGTTGTCCGAATAGGGCACCACGGAGCCGAGGTAGCGCTGCACCAGGTCCGGATGCTCCTTCACCGCATCCGAGATCGAGCAGAAGATGATGCCCATCTCGCCGAGTTTGTCCTTGAACGTGGTCGCGACCGAGACGCTGTCGAACACCGCATCGACCGCGACACCCGCCAGCATCTCCTGCTCCTGGAGTGGGATGCCGAGCTTCTCGTAGGTCTTCAGAAGCTCCGGGTCGATCTCGTCCAGGCTCTTCGGCCGGTCGGAGTCGGACTTGGGCGCGGAGTAGTAGCAGGCGTCCTGATAGTTGATGGGCGGGTAGTGAACTTTCGCCCACGTCGGCTCCTCGTCCTCCATCTGAAGCCAACGCTCGAAGGCCTTGAGACGCCAGGCCAATAGCCACTCGGGCTCGCCCTTCTTGGCGGAGATGAACCGGATGGTGTTGTGATCGAGTCCGGGAGGCGCGGAGTCGACCTCGACATCGGTGACGAAGCCGTACTTGTAGCGCTCGCCCGCGTAGGATTCGACGGCCTGCGCGGCCTCTTGCTGTGCGCTCATGACGCGTGCTCCCGTCCAGCAGTACTGCGCCCGCGCAGGCACGCTGCCCGCACCCGCCGCCGCCTGGGCCATGTCGGCGAGGGTCACTTCCTCCAGCGCGACGCGGATCGCGTCGCTGATCTTCTGCCAGGGCCGCGCACCGAGCAGAAGCTTTCCAGTCGCAGATACCGGAGGGGCCGTCGAGGCAGTCGGCAAGCGAGATCGGCCCGTCCACGGCGGCGACCAGGTCTGCCACCGAGACCTGCTCGGGCGCGTGCGCCAGCACGTAGCCGCCCTTGGCCCCCCGGTGGGAGGTCAGGATGCCGGCCTTTGCCAGCAATTTCATAAGTTTGCTTGCGCTCGGCTGGGGCACGCCGGTCTGCGCCGCGATGCTCGCCGCCGTGTGCCTTGCGCGGGGATCGCGCGCGATGTGGGTCATGGCCACGACGCCATAGTCGGCCATGCGGCTGACACGGATCATGCTTGCTCCCCTTTCGCCATCGCCCGCCCCCGCCCGGACGTGCGTGGAAGGCATATAGGACGAATTCGGTCCGCTTTCAATAGGAATATTGCCGAGATGTCAATTGGCGGGAACGCTAAACATGCGTTGGGAGCGGATCGCCTCGATCAAGAAAACTCGCCGCCCGCCTCCCCCAAGAGCGCTTCGACATCGCGGCGTAGGATGGGGAGCTTGGCTTCGACGACATCCCAGACCAAGCGCTCGTCCACGTCTGCGTAGCCGTGAATGAGGATATTGCGGAAGGCGACAATGCGGCGATAGTCGTCGATGCGGGTGACAAGCGCCTCGTCGTGTCTTGCAAGCTTCGCCGTGGCTTCTCCGATTATCTCGAATTGGCGCTCTACCGCTGCGCGAAGCATGGCGTCGAGCTCGTAATCTGCGAACGTCTTGCCGGCGGTGAAATCGGTGAGCAATTCCACCGCGCGCCAAATGTCGTGCAGGTATTTCTGAGCCTCAGGCTTCATAGAGCAGCGCGCTGGTCTGCTCGACTGACTGCAGAAAGAAGGGATTCTTGATGGCCGAGCCCACGACCAGTTCCACCCGGTCCACCGAGCAGTCGCTCCAAATCCTCCAGCAAGCCGAAATAGCTGTCCGCGTAAGCGCCGGCCGGTAGGGACGGAAACTCTACGACGAAGTCGAAATCGCTCTTGCCGGGGCTGTGCGTGCCGCTCGCTGCCGAGCCGAACAACGCAAGTCTTTGCACGTGATATCGACCGCAAAGCCGCTCAATCTCGGCGGTGCGCTCGGCGACGACGGCGATCATGGGTGCCTCTCCCGTCTCGCAAGGCATTTCAGAAACGAAGCACATACAAGTTTACAGGACGTGCTGGCAAATGCCCGCGCTGAAACCGATGTTTCATGGCACGACGCATCGGGTCTCCCGTTCGGCGCGGGAGCCTGCTATGAGAGCGCCGCAGGAGCGAAGGAGCCATGACCGAGCCTCTCTGGACACCGTCGGCGGAGCGAATGAAGCGCGCGCATCTCAGCCGCTTTATGGCCGAGGTGAGCGCCACGTGGGGCGTCGATGCGGCCGACCACGCCGCCCTGCACGCCTGGTCGGTGGCCGAGCCGGCTCAGTTCTGGCGCTCCATGTGGGACTTCGCCGGCATCGTCGGCGACGGGCCGGGCGAGCGTATCGTGATCGACGGCGACAGGATGCCCGGCGCCCGCTGGTTCCCCGATGCCAGCTCAACTACGCCGAGAACCTGCTGCGCCGGCGGGACGAGGCGGACGCGCTGGTCTTCTGGGGCGAGGACCGGGTGCGGCGGCGCCTCAGCTTCGCCCGCGCTGCACGACCAGGTCTCGCGCATGGCCCGGCGCTGCAGCACGCGGTGTCCGCCAGGGGGACCGGGTTGCGGGCTACTGCCGAACATGCCGGAAACCATCGTCTCCGCGCTAGCCAGCCGCGAGCCTCGGCGCCGTCTGGTCGTCGTGCTCGTCGGATTTCGGCACGCGCGGTGTCCTCGACCGCTTCGGCCAGATCGAACCCAAGGTGCTGATCGCCGCCGACGGCTACTTCTATGGCGGCAAGACCTTCGACCGCCGGCCGCAGGTGCAGGAGATCCTGGCCGAGCTTCCCACCGTCGAGCAGGTCATCATCGTGCCCTATACGGAGGAAAGCCCGCGCTCGACGGCGTGCGTGACGCCGTCCTCTATGGCGCGGCACTCGCAGCGGAACAAGGCGGGCCGATCGACTTCGTGCGGGTGCCCTTCGACCACCCGCTGGTGATCATGTTCTCCTCCGGCACCACCGGCGCGCCCAAGTGCATCGTCCACGGCACCGGCGGCACGCTGCTGCAGCACATGAAGGAGCATGCGCTGCACAGCGATATCGGGCCTGGCGACCGGGTGTTCTACGCCACCACTGCGGCTGGATGATGTGGAACTGGCTGGTCAGTGCGCTGGCCTCCGAGGCGACGCTGCTGCTCTATGACGGCTCGCCCTTCCATCCCGACGGCAATGCCCTGTTCGATTATGCCGACGCGGAGGGCATGACGCTCTTCGGCACCTCCGCCAAGTATCTCGACGCCGCCGCCAAGGCCGGGCTCCAGCCCAAGAGTACCCACGACCTCGGCACGCTGCGCACCATGACATCCACCGGCTCGCCGCTCGCGCCGGAAGGTTTCGAGTACGTCTACCGCGCCATCAAGGACGACCTGCATCTGGCTTCGATCTCGGGCGGCACGGACATCATCTCCTGCTTCGCCCTCGGCAACCCGACGGGGCCCGTCCGGCGTGGCGAGCTGCAGGCGCTGGGCCTCGGCATGGCGGTGGACGTGTTCGACGATGCCGGCAGGCCCGTGCGCGGCGAGCCGGGCGAGCTCGTGTGCACGCAGCCCTTCCCCTCCATGCCGGTCTCGTTCTGGAACGACCCGGACGGCGCCAAGTACCACGGCGCCTATTTCGACCGCTTCGCGAGCGTCTGGTGCCACGGCGACTGGGTGACGCGGACCGAACACGACGGGCTGGTCATCCACGGCCGCTCCGACGCGGTGCTGAACCCCGGCGGCGTGCGCATCGGCACCGCCGAGGTCTATCGCCAGGTCGAGCAGTGCGACGAGGTGCTGGAGGCCATCTGCATCGGCCAGGACTGGGAGGGCGACCAGCGCATCGTGCTCTTCGTCCGCCTGCGCGAGGGCATCGCGCTGGACGACGCGCTCACCGACACGGATCAGGACGCGCATCCGCCGCGAGTGCACGCCCGCGTCACGTGCCGGCGAAGGTGATCCAGATCGCCGACATCCCGCGCACCCGCTCCGGCAAGATCACCGAGCTCGCGGTCCGCGACGTGATCCACGGCCGCGCGGTAAAGAACCGCGAGGCGCTGGCGAACCCGGAGGCGCTGGCGCTGTTCGAGGACCTTCCGGCTCTCCAATCTTAGCGCCACTACGGGCGGCGGCAGCGGCGCCGGTGCCCGACTGGCGCGACCATTGACTCCAATCGAACGAACGTTCACTTTGCGCCCCGCCAGCGGGGGGAGAGCGCCGCGGACGCCATCGGGCGCGCCGCCTCTTCACACCCCGCCCATTTCGTATGAAACGATCATCCGACATCCGCAGGGAGAAGCAGCATGTTCCATACACCCAAGAAGGCGCTGTTCAAGCCGATCAGCCGCCGCAAATTCCTCGAGCTCGGGGGCGGCGTCGCGACAGCGCTCGGCGTCGGCTCGCTCGCGGTCGGCATGAACTCGGTGATCACACGCCGGCCGGTCTACGCCTATTCGTCCGACGAAGCCAAGTGGCGCCAGTACGAGGGCTCGAAGCTCGTCTTCATGTCCGAGAACACACCGCCCTCCTTCGCCATTCGCGACAACATCCAGGCGTTCTACGACCTCACCGGCATCGAGGTGGAGATCCTCACCGACGGCCTGCCGACCGTGCAGCAGAAGGTCGGCATCGACCTGCGTAGCGGCCAGGCCGACTATCACCTCAACTACGTGCAGGACAAGCCGATCGGCTCGCCCTTCGCCGACTTCTATGCCGACCTCAACCAGTTCTCGGTCGACGACACGCTGCCGCTCGACCCGCAGGGCTACGGCGACGATGTCTGGTTCGAGAATTACCTGGATGCCTGTGGCGTCTACTACGAGCGCGGCCCGATCCGCGCCTTCCCCTATGACTGCGCGGTGTCCTGCACCTTCTACCGGCAGGACCTCTTCGAACAACTGACCAAGGACTTCGAGGCCGATTATGGCTACCGGCTCGAGTTCACCGACGATACGACCTACAAGAACATGGTCGATATTGCCGAGTTCTTCAGGAAGATGCACGAACGCGATGCGTCCATCCCCTATGGCTATGCGCAGCATCATGGCTCGTTCGGCTGGACGACTCAGCTCGACATCCAGCGGCACATGTATGCGCAGAACCAGTGGCTCGACTTCGCGGTCGACGACACGCTGGGCTCGAAGAACCCCGGCCCGACCAACTGGGGCGACGCCCAGTCGGTCAGCGCGATGGAAGGCTACAAGGCGCTCGCCGATGTCTCCCATCCCGACAACCTGACCAACGGGACCCTGGAGCTGAACACGGTCTACGCCGCCGGCGGCGTCGCCATGCAGATCCAGTACCACGAGTTCGCGGCCTCGGTGGAGGACCCCGAGCAGTCCGTCGCGGCCGGCGGCAAGACCGGCTACGCAATGGGGCCGAAGGGCGAGGTTTCGTGGAACACCGGCGGCACCGACAACGTCGTCAACGCCACCAACTGCGGCATCGGCGGCATCGGCATCAACGCCGGCGCGTCGATGGACCTGCAGCGCGCGGCGTTCATCTTCGCCAGCTGGGCCTGCAGCCACGAAACGCAGCTCATGGTCCTGCAGGGCGTCGGCGGCACGCCGACCCGCAAGTCCGTCCTCGAGGTGCCGGAGGTCAAGGAGGCGCGCAACCGGCCGACCTCCATGCCGAACGCGCTTACCTTCGAGGCGGTCTACGACAAGGGCATCCGCTCGCCGAACATGGTGCTCGGGCCGAAGCTGCCGAAGTCGAACGAGTACCACGAGATCGTTCGGGTCGGCACCCAGCAGTGTATTTCCGACGAGCTCTCGGCCCAGGAAGCGTGCGAATCCATCCGGGACGAGCTGAACGCCATTCACGGCGTCTGATCGGTACCCCGTCGCCCGGGGGACGCTTCGGCGCACCCCGGGCGGTCGGCGGCTCTTGTTGACCGCGACCGGCGGCGGCTGGCCGCGGGCGGAGAAACGGCGCGGAGACCCGGCGCATGGCGTCCAACATCGCGGATATCGATGTCGCGGGCGAAGCCGTGCGCGGTGCGCGGACGATCGACCACCTGCCGCCGGGCTTCAACCAGCGGCCGCCGCGCTACTACCTGCTGTGGCTGATGCTGCCGGCGATCCTGCTGCTGGCGGCGATCTCCCTCTACCCCTTCGTCTGGCTGATCTACATGTCCCTGCACGAGGTGCAGCTCGCGCCGGGCAAGTCGGACGTGTGGGCCGGCATCGACAATTTCTCGCGGCTCGCGAGAGACAAGAATTTCGCCAGGGGCTGGCTCACGCTCTTCAAGTACAGCGCGCTCTGCCTCACGGCCGAGATCGCACTCGGCGTCTTGGTAGCCGTTATCCTTCACAACAACCGCTTTGAGAAAATACTCGTCACTATTTTCCTGATGCCGATGATGATGGCGCCCGTCATCGCCGGCTTCCTTTTCGTGTTTCTCTATAACGGAACCTTCGGCTGGTACTTCTGGCTGTTGCAGAGCATTGGCCTGCTCGAAGGCGGCTCGATCCTCGGCAACAAGTTCTGGGCGATGTTCGCGGTCGTCGCGACCGACGTCTGGCAGTGGACGCCGCTCATCGCGCTCATCACGCTCGCCGGCCTCAAGCGCGTCCCGCAGGAGCAGCTCGAGGCCCACATGGTGGATGGCGCCGGGCTCTTCCGCAACTTCTTCAGCGTCGCCCTGCCCAATCTCTACCCCTTCCTGCTGATCGCGATCCTGCTCCGCTTCATGGACAACTTCAGGTTCATCGACACGATCCTGATCATGACCGGCGGCGGCCCCGCCAACGCGACCAAGATCCTGCCGACCTACCTGTTCGACGTGTCGTTCAAGTTCTTCGAGCTCGGCCGGGGTGCTGCGATCGCCTTCACCCTGCTGCTGCTGACGATCCTGCTGGGCCTCGTGCTGACCATGGTGTTCGAGGACCCGACCCGCAAGATCAGGACGCAGGGCAAGGACTGATGGCATCGCGCGAGATCGTCACCTATCGGTCGCCGCTGCGCACCGCGCTGAAGGCGCTCGCGATCGTTTTTCTGGTCTTCTTCTTCGTCTGGACCACGCTGCCGCTGTTGATCATGGTGGTTTCGTCCTTCAAGGACCTGCTGGACGCGTTCAAGCTGCCGGCGGTCGGCGATTTCGGCGGGGTCGGCGTGATGTTCGACTTCAAGCCGACCGGCACGCACTACGTCGAGCTCTTCACCGAAAGCACTTCGGCGTCTACCTGCGCAACAGCCTGATCGCGTCGTTCGGGTCGGCGGCGGTCTCGGTGTCGCTCGGCTCGATGGCGGCCTACGCACTCTCCAGAGCGACGTTTCGCGGCAAGAGGGACCTCCTCTTCTGGATCATCTCACCCGCATGGCGCCGGTCGTGGCGGTCATGGTGCCGCTCTATGTGATCTTCCGCTCGTCGGGTCTGGTCGGCACCCTGCCCGGCCTCATCCTCGCCTACACCACCTTCAACCTCCCCTTCGCCATCTGGATTCTCAAAGGCTTCTTCGACAATGTTCCCTACGCGATCGAAGAGGCGGCGCAGTGCGACGGCTGCACCCGTTGGCAGGCGTTCAGGCTGATCATTCCGTTGGTGGCGCCGGGGATCGGCGCGTTCATCGTGCTCTGCGTGCTTTTCGGCTGGAACGACTTTCTGTTCGCGTCGATCATCGGCTCGGGCGGCGCCAAGACCCTGCCGGTGGCGACGGCCGAGCTCGTCCAGCCCGTCAAGATTCAGTGGGGGATGATCATGGCCGCAGGCGTCGTAACGACGGTGCCGATGATGTTTCTCGGTCTTCTGATCCGGCGCTATCTCGTTGCCGGGCTCACCATGGGCGCGGTCAGGGAATAGACCCGAAGAGCCGGGCAAATGCCTGTCTGGGGGTACTGATGGCTACGGTTACGATCTCGGATGTGTGGAAGTATTACGGCAAGACCGTTGCCGTGAAAGAGCTCAATCTCGAGATCAGGAACAACGAGTTCATGTGCATTCTCGGGCCCTCGGGCTGCGGAAAGTCGTCGACGCTTCGCATGCTCGCCGGGCTTGAGTTCATCTCCTCCGGCGAGATTTACTTCGACGACGTGCGGGTGAACGACCTGCCGCCGCGCGACCGCGACATCGCCATGGTGTTCGAGAACTACGCGCTCTACCCCCACAAGACCGTCTACGAGAACATGGCAACCCGCTGAAATTGCGGCGGACGCAAAGCAGGAAATCGAGCGTCGCGTGCGACGCGCCGCCGAGATTCTGGAGATCGACCCCCTACTCCACCGCAAGCCTGTAGAGCTCAGCGGCGGGCAGAAGCAGCGCACCGCCATCGGTCGCGCCATCGTGCGCGAACCCAAGGTGTTCCTCTTCGACGAGCCGATCGCCCACCTCGACGCCAAGCTGCGCTCCCACATGCGAGGCGAGCTCAAGCACCTGCAACGCGACCTGGAGACCACCACCGTCTACGTCACCCACGACCAGCTCGAGGGCATGTCGATGGCGGATCGCATCGCGGTGATGCACGAAGGCGTGCTGCAGCAGCTCGGCACGCCCGAGGAGATTTACAATCAGCCGACCAACGAGTTCGTGGCGGGCTTCGTGGGCGAGCCGCCGATGAACTTCCTCGACTGCTCCCTGGAGCGGACGAACGTCGGCCTCACCGTCGTGCACTCGGGCTTCCGGCTCGCGCTCTCCGAGCACCAGGCCAGCCTGCTCACGGCCGGTGGAGCGGAGGCGGATGTGCGCATCGGCATCCGCCCCGACAATCTGGCGATCGAGCCCGGCGCCGACGGCGCGCTGGGACGTGCCGGGCGAGATCTTCGTGGTCGAGCCGCTCGGCGGCGACATGATCGTCGATGTCACCATCGGCGGCCACCGGGTGATGGTGAAGACCAAGATCGGGCCCATGGGCGGGCCCGGCGATCCCTGCCGCATCGGCTTCGATGTGGACAAGTTGCACGTCTTCGACATAAACACCGGCGTCGCCTACTTGTAGGACCGAGCGCCACCACGCAGGCAGAGAGGAGCACTCGTATGCAGCTCAGCAAAGACGACTTGTTGACGGCCTATCGAACCATGCGGAGGATTCGGGAGTTCGAGGAACGCCTCCACATCGAATTCGCGACGGGCGATATCCCGGGTTTCGTGCATCTCTACGCCGGTGAGGAGGCGAGCGGCGTCGGCGTCTGCATGCACCTCGACGACCGCGACCGCATCGCCAGCACCCACCGCGGCCACGGCCACTGCATCGCCAAGGGTTGCGACATGGACGGCATGATGGCGGAGATATACGGCCGCAGGGACGGCCTCTGTGGCGGCAAGGGCGGCTCCATGCACATCGCCGACCTGGACAAGGGCATGATGGGCGCGAACGGCATCGTGGGCGGCGGCCCGCCGCTGATCTGCGGTGCGGGCCTCGCCGCGAAGCAGCTCCGCACCGGCGGCGTCGCCATCGCCTTCGTCGGCGACGGCGGCTTCAATCAGGGCACCACCTTCGAGAGCCTCAATCTCGCCTCGGTCTGGAACCTGCCCTGCGTCTTCGTGGTCGAGAACAACGGCTATGCGGAATCCACCGGGTCGAAGTGGTCGATCGCCTGCGACGACGCCGCCGACCGGGCCAGTGGCTTCAACATGCCGGGTGTCGTGGTCGACGGGCACGACTTCTTTGCGGTCCACGAAGTCGCCGGCGAAGCCATCAAGCGGGCCCGCGAGGGCGGCGGTCCGAGCCTGCTGGAATGCAAGCTCAACCGCTACTACGGACACTTCGAGGGCGATGCGCAGACCTATCGCGCCCCGGACGAGGTGAAGAAGCTGCGCGAGACGCGGGACTGCCTGGCGATGTTCCGCGAGAAGGTGACCGGGGCCGGCCTGCTCGATGACGCGGCGCTCGACGCGATCGACAGCGAGTCCGAGGCCCAGGTCGACGGCGCGGTCGCCAAGGCCAAGGTGGCGCCGCCGCCGAACGCCGCCGATCTTCTTACCGACGTCTACGTTTCCTACTGAGCGAGGGAGGCACCAATGGCACGCACAGCGACATATCAACAGGCAATCAACGAGGCCCTCGCCCAGGAGATGGAGCGCGACGAGACCGTCATCATCATGGGCGAAGACGTGGCCGGCGGCCTCGGCACGGATGGCGAGCGCGACGCCTGGGGCGGACCGCTCGGCATCACCAAGGGGCTTTACGGCAAGTTCGGCGATCGGGTCATGGACACCCCGATCAGCGAGTCCGCCTTCATCGGCGCCGCGGTCGGCGCAGCAACCGCAGGTCTCCGCCCGGTCGCGGAGCTGATGTTCATCGATTTCATGGGCGTCTGCTTCGACCAAATCTTCAACCAGGCGGCGAAGTTCCGTTACATGTTCGGCGGCAAGGCCGAAACGCCGGTGGTGATCCGCACCATGTACGGTGCCGGGCTGCGTGCAGCGGCCCAGCATTCGCAGTGCCTCTATCCGGTCTTCACCCACATCCCCGGGCTCAAGGTCGTGACCCCGGCGACGCCCTATGACGCCAAGGGGCTGCTGATCCAGGCGATCCGCGACAACGACCCGGTGATCTTCTGCGAGCACAAGGCGCTCTACACCCTCGAAGGCGATGTGCCGGAGGAGCCCTACGCGCTCCCCTTCGGTGAGGCCAACATCGTGCGCGAAGGCGACGATGTCTCCATCGTGACCCTCGGCCGCATGGTCCACGTCGCGATCGAGGCGGCGAACGCGCTCGCGGGCGACGGGATCGAGTGCGAGGTCGTCGACCTGCGCACGACCTCGCCGCTGGATGAGGAGACCGTGCTCGAGTCGGTGGAGAACACAGGGCGCCTTGTGGTACTCGACGAGGCGCACCCGCGCTGCAACATGGCCACCGATATCGCGGCGCTGGTCTGTGAGAAAGGCTTCCATTCGCTGAAGGGGCCGATCAAGCAGGTGACCGCCCCGCACACGCCGGTTCCCTTCGCGGACACGCTCGAGGATCTCTACATCCCCAATGCGGCGGCGGTGCAGAAGGCCGTGAAGGCGGTCATGGAGTCCAGCAAATGAGCGAAGGCATCCGCCCCATTTGCATGCCCAAATGGGGCCTCTCCATGAAGGAGGGGAAGGTCGCCGGATGGCTTGTGGGCGAAGGCGATTCGCTCACGCCGGGCGATGAGGTCATCGATATCGAGACCGAGAAGATCTCCAGCGCGGTCGAGGCGGCGGACGCCGGCGTGCTCAGGCGCTGCGTCGCCCAGGAGGGCGACGTGCTGCCGGTCGGCGGCCTGCTCGGCATCGTCGCCGATGAGAGCGTTGCCGACGCCGACATCGACGCCTTCGTCACCGACTTCCAGGCCAACTTCGTGCCGCCCGAAGACGATGACGAGGACAGCGGCCCCGCCACCGAGACGGTGGAGATCGACGGGCGGCAGATCCGCTACCTCACACGGGGCGAAGGCGGCACGCCGGTCATCCTGATCCACGGCTTCGGCGGCGACCTCAACAACTGGTGTTCAACCACGAGGCGCTCGCCGCGACGCGGGCGGTCCACGCCCTCGACCTGCCGGGGCACGGCAGCTCCAGCAAGGATGCGGGCGACGGCTCGATCGGCTTCTTCGCCGGAATCGTCACCGGCTTCGCCGATGCCCTTGGGGATCGAGAAGGCTCATCTCGTGGGCCACTCCATGGGCGGCGCCATCGCCCTTGCCATGGCGCGGTCGGCGCCGGCGCGCGTTGCCTCCATCACCTTGATCGGCAGCGCCGGTCTCGGCAGCGAAATCGACGGGGATTATCTGGAGGGATTCATCTCGGCCGAGCGGCGGAAGGGCCTCAAGCCCCACGTCGAGAAGCTGTTCAGCGATCCGGCACTCGTCACCCGCCAGTTGATCAACGACCTGCTCGCCTTCAAGCGGATCGATGGCGTTACCGCTGCGCTCGGCACCATCCGGGATGCCTTCGCACCCGGCGGTGCGCAAGCCGAAGTAATGCGCGATGTGGCCGGCAGCGTGCCGACGCTCGTCCTCTGGGGCGCCGGGGACCAGATCATTCCTGCCTCCCACGCCGAGGGCCTGCCGGACGGCGTCGACTGCACGGTGCTGGACGGCCAGGGCCACATGGTACAGATGGAAGCCGCCACCGAGGTGAACCGCCTGATCGACAAACACGTCGGCTGACGATTCGCGGCATCCTGTTCGTTTCGTGGGCCGCGTCCGTAATTGCGGGCGCGGCCCGTTCTCTATCGGCAATCACCATGACGCCCCCGTGAAACCGCTTAGCTATACTGCGCCCATGGGCGAATCGCAGGCACCGGCCGCCGGACGGCCGCCGCAGCTCTTCTGCGGCGACATCGACATCCGCATCGCGGGCGACGGCACCTGGTTCCATGAAGGCTGCCCCATCGGCCGCCTGCCCCTGGTCAAGCTCTTCGCGAGCGTGCTCAGGCGCGAGGACGACGACTACTGGCTCGTCACTCCCGTGGAGAAGGCACGCATCACTGTGGATGATGTCCCCTTCATCGCCGTAGAGATGGAGGCCGAAGGCGAAGGCCAGGCGCAATGCGTGCGCTTCCGCACCAACCTGGACGAGTGGGTGAGCGCGGGCGCCGCGCACCCCTCGCCTTTCGCTCCTTGCCGGAATCCGACGAGAAGGCGCCCTATCTCACCGTTCGCGACGGCCTGGAGGCGCGCGTGGCGCGCGCGGCCTTCTATCCGCTGGTTGAACTCTGCGTCGAGCGGGAGCTCGAGGGCCGGCGGTGCTCGGCGTCTGGAGCGACGGCGTGTTCTTCCCCTTCGACGATGCGGCGTAAGTAACGACCGATGCATACCGACATTCTGCGCGGCGTGGCGCAGCAGGCGCCGGGCGCACCGGATCAGCCGTGGGACGCGGTCATCGCGGCGGCGGAGCGGGCGCCCGCAGCCCGCGTGCCGGGCTCGCTCCGGCATATTCGTGAAGCCGCCCGCACGCTTCCGCCTTCGGAAACCATTACGCCCGCCGCCGTGCTCGTCGCCGTCATCGAGCGGGAGGGCGCGCTCTCGGTGCTCCTCACCAGACGGGCCGAGCGGCTCGCGCGCCACGCAGGCCAGATCAGCTTTCCCGGCGGCCGCGCCGACCCCGGCGATGGACCCCGCTGAAGACGGCGCTCCGGGAAGCCGAAGAGGAAATCGGCCTGCCCCAAGCCGGCGTCCAGATTGTCGGCCGCCTGGACGATTATCTGGTGGGCACCGGCTACCGCATCACGCCGGTGGTCGGTTTCGTCGCGGCGCCGCCCGTCTTCGAGGCGGATTCCCAGGAGGTCGCCGAGGTCTTCGAGGTGCCGTTGACCTTCGTCCTGGAGCCCTCCAACTACCGGCGCGACAAGGTGACGATTGGCGGTGTCGAGCGCCGTTTTTACGTCCTGCCCTATGGCGCGTATTATATCTGGGGCGCTACGGCGGCGATCCTCGTCAACTTCAGGGATGTGGTGCGCGCATCATGTTGAAAACCACCCTCGTCCACATCCTGATCCTGCTCGCGCCGACGATCCTCTACATCGCCTTTCTCATCCTGACACGGCGGATTCAGCTGAGCCGCAGCAGTGCGGCGGCACAGTTGCGCAAGATGCCGTGGGTCAGGCTGCTCGGCAGCGGCCTCGTGCTGGGGGCGGCGAGCCTGGTGGCGCTCGCGATGATCGGCGGCAGCGACCCCGAGGGCACTTATGTGCCGGCAAGCATCGTGGACGGCGAGATCGTGCCCGGTGAGGTCGTTGACTGAGCACCCGTTGGGGGGAAGGAACCGTACACGCACCCTGGATGACGGCGCCGGTCACCCGCGCGGTGGTGAAGGCTCTCACTGCCGACGGCGCAGATGTCCGCTTCGTCGGCGGCTGTGTGCGCGATGCGCTGCTCGGGCGCGAGAGCGCCGATATCGACATCGGCACCCCCGACCCGCCCGAGCGGGTGATGGGGCTACTGGGTCGAGCCGGCATCGAGACCCGCACGTTCACGCGATCGCAGCACGGCACCGTCACCGCTGTTGCCGGCGGCAACCGCTACGAGATCACGACGCTCCGACGCGACGAGCGGACCGACGGCCGGCACGCAGAAGTCGCCTTCACCGACGACTGGGAGCAAGACGCGGCGCGCCGCGACTTCACCATCAATGCCATGAGCGTCACACCGGACGGCGTGTTGCATGACTATTTCGGCGGTCAGGCGGACCTCGCAGCCGGGCGGGTGCGCTTCGTCGGCGACCCGGCGACGCGCATCGCCGAGGACCATCTGCGGCTGCTCCGCTTCTTCCGCTTCTACGCGTGGTACGGCAAGGGCGTGCCGGACGCGGCGGCGCTGGATGCGTGCAAAGCAGCGGCGCACACGATCCCATCGCTCTCGGGCGAGCGCGTGCAGGCCGAGATGCTGAAGCTGCTCGCCGCTCCCGATCCTTTAGCGCCACTGGCCGCGATGCGGGACGCCGGCGTGCTCGCCCAACTACTGCCGGAGGCATCGGAAGCCAAGCGCCTTGCCCGCCTCGTCGCGATCGAGGGCAGCGTCGGCGACGGCGATCGGATACGGAGGCTCGGCGCTCTCATCGCTGACGCCGAAGCTGCACACGATGTCGCCGCCCGCTGGCGGCTCGCCGGCGCAGACGCAGCGCGCCTCGCCGCACTCTGTGCACCACCGGCCCCCCTCACTCCCGATCTCGACCGCCGCACCCAACGGCGCAGGCTCTACCGGCTAGGCCCCGGGCTGTTCCGCGATCTGGTGCTGCTCGCATGGGCCGCGGAGACCATGGCGAGAACGAGGCGGCTTGGCGGGCAATGCTGGAGACAGCCCGCGCCTGGGAAGAGCCAGCCTGCCCGTCTCCGCGCGGAGTTCTGGCATGCGCGTGGAGTCAGGCGCCGGCGGTGGGCCGCCTTCGTTCGCCGTCGAGGCCTGGTGCGAAGGACCGCGATTTCGCGCCCGACCGCGAGGCCGCGCTTGCTACAGCTCAGAGAGCTTGCCGCTGGCGGCAGCCAGGAATAGCGCCCAGCGGGCCTCCGCGAGACCCGCTGGGGTCACAGGCACAGTTACTCCGCCGCTTCGGCGGCGCCGTCGAGGCCGTAGTGCTCCCGCGCCGAGGCGGGGGAGATATAGCCCTCGGCGAGGTCTTCGATCACCTGCTCCCGCGTGCGCTTGCGCGGGTCGCCCCAGCCGCCGCCGCCGGGAGTCTGGAAGCGGATCGAATCGCCCGGGCGGATGCGGACATTGCTCCACTTGCTGGGACTGGCCTTGCCGAAAGCTTCGTCCATCATGAGCCAGGTGGTGGTGTTGGCGGACTGGTGCCAGGTGCCGGCGAGGCCGCCGGGCTGGCCACCATAAAGCCCCCAGGGCCGGTTGCGGTGGCGGTCCGACATCTGGCTGCCCGTGATCTCGAGGTCCAGGCTCTTGAGCGTGCGCTGCGTGCTGAGCCCGCCGCGATTCTCGCCGGCGCCGCCGGAATCCTGAACCAGGATGTAGGACTCGGTGCGGAACGGGAAGCGGGTCTCGAACACCTCGACCGGCACGACGCGGCAGTTGCCGTTGATCGAATCGGTGGCGTCGTTACCGTCGGCGAAGTTGCGCCCGCCCCAGCCCGAAAGCTCGATGGCGTAGCAGACGAATTGCTCGCCGGAATCGGGATCGGTGCCGCCGAAGACGAAGTTGGTGTGCGTCGCGCCCTCGGCCGCCATCGTGCGATCCGGCAACACTGGCGAGAGCGCGCCGATCACGGCGCCCGCGATCTTGCAGTGGGTCTCGGTGTTGCCGCCGACCTCGGGCCCCGGATAGTCGACGTTGAGCAAGGTGCCGGGCGGCGAGACCACGCGGATCGGGCGGAAACAGCCCGAGTTCTTCGGGATGGTCTCGTCGGTGACCTGCAGGATGCCGTTGTAGGCGGCAGAGTACGATACGCCGAGGGTCGCGTTGATCGGGCCCAGCGCCTGCGGCGAGGTGCCCGAATAATCGATGACCACCTCGTCGCCCTGAATGTGGACGGCCACCTTGATCGTATAGGGCTTGTTCTCGATACCGTCGTCCTCGACCTCGTCCTGGAAGCGGTAGACGCCGTCCGTGATGGCGCCGATTTCCGCGCGCATGCGGCTCTCGGAGTAATCCATCAGGTCGTGCACGTTGCGGCGGAACTGCTCCTTGCCATACTTGCGGATCATCTTCGCGAGGCCGCGCTCGCCCACGTCCACGCCCGCGATCAGCGCCCGCAGGTCGCCGTAGTTGTAGCGGGGGGTGCGGACGTTCGCGAGGAGCAGCTTCCACACCTCCTCCACGTCCTCGCCGCGGCTCATGATCTTGACCGGCGGCACCCGGAGTCCTTCTTGGAAAATCTCGGTCGCCTCACCCGCGAAGGCGCCCGGCACCATGCCGCCGATCTCCTGCAGATGGCCGATGGTCATGGCGAAGCCCATGATTTCGTCATCGACGAAGACCGGCTTGATCAGCGTGTGCTCGGGGCAATGCAGGCCACCGCGGTAGGGGTCGTTGTGGCAGATCACGTCGCCGGGCTCGAGGGTCTCCAGCGGGATCTCCTTGACGCAGCTTCGCACCAGCAGAGGCACGCCGCCGATCATCGACGGGCAGTATTCCGCCTGCGCGATCATCTCGCCCTCGGGGCTCGCGAGCGCGCAGGTGAAGTCCAGCGCCTCGTTGAAGATCGTCGAATACGACGTCTTCATCAGCACGATGCCCATCTCGCGGCAGACCGCGGTCATGGTGGAATCGATGATCGACATGGTGACCATGTCGACGTCGGGCTTCTGGGTCATGGTCAGGCCTCCTCAGCGATGCGGCCGATCAGAAGATTGCCGTACTGATCCACCTTCATGGGTTGGCCGGGGCGCAGCACGGTCACCGAGACCGGCTCCTCGATGACCGCGGGGCCGGTGATCGTGTGGCCGTCGCGCAGCTGGGCGCGGTCGTAAATCGGCGTGTCGTGGCGGCCGTCGTCGAACACGACAGAGCGTGTGGCCACGGCCTCAAGCCCGCCGTCCGCCTTTCCGATGGTGGCGAGGTCGGGCTTCTCGGTGAGCGAGACGACGGTCGCCTTGACGGTGATGACCTCGATCACCTCGCGCGGGATGTTGAAGCCGAATCGCGCCAAGTGCATGTCATGGAACGCCTGCCAGACCTTGGGCGTCGTCTCGTCGGTGAAGGAATCGAAGGCGATCGGGATCTCCAGCTCGTAGTTCTGCCCGAGATAGCGCATCTCCAGCGAGCGGTAGATCTTCGATGTTCTTGACGTAGCCCTGCGCCTTCAGCTCGGCGATGCCGGTCTCGATCAGCGCGGCCATCACCTCGGACGCCCGGTCCTGATCGAAGCGCTTCGACGTCATCTGCACCGTGCGCTGCACATCGACGCGCGCGTCGGTGAGGATGAAGCCGAAGGCCGAGAAGTGGCCGGGGTAGTTGGGAATGACGCCCGACGGGATGCCGGCATCGTTCATCAGGTCGGCCGCATGCAGCGGGCCGGCGCCGCCGAAGGCGAGCAGTGCGAAATCGCGCGGGTCGAGACCGCGCTCGATCAGCACCGAGCGCAGCGCGCCCACCATGTTGTTGTTGGCGATCTGCACGATCGCGAGTGCGGTCTCCTCCGCGGTGCGCCCGAGCGGCCCGGCGACGCTGGCGAGCGCTTTCTCCGCCGCCTGCATATCGAGGGCCATTTCACCGCCGAGGAAGTTCTCCGGGTTGATCCGGCCGAGCAGCAGGTTGGCGTCGGTGACCGCCGGCCGCTCCCCACCGCTGCCGTAGCAGGCGGGGCCGGGATTCGCGCCCGCGCTTTCGGGCCCGACGCGCAGCATGCCGCCCTTGTCGATCCAGGCGATGGAGCCGCCGCCCGCACCGATGGTGCGGATGTCGATCATCGGGATCTGGATGGGGACACCGAACTCCACTTCATAGTCGGTGGTGAAGTTCTCCTTCCCGCCCACAATCGTGGAGGTGTCGGTCGACGTGCCGCCCATGTCGAGGGTGACAAGATGGCTGATGCCGCTCAGCTTGGCGACGTGCTTGCCCGCGATCACCCCGCCCGTGGGGCCGGAGACGGTCATCTGGATCGGCGTTCTCTGCGCCGCCTCGAGCGTCATCTCGCCGCCGTTGGACTTGATGACGACGGCCTGATCGGTAATCCCGCTCGCCTTGAAGCGCTCGCGCAGGTTTGCGATCTGGCTGTTCACCACGGGCTTCACATAGGCATCCGCGATGGTGGTCGACGCGCGCTCGTACTCCTTCCACTTGGGCAGAACGTCGTAGGAGATGGAGATCGGAATATCCGGCAGCTCTTCCTCCAGGATCTCCTTGGCGCGCCGTTCGTGGTCCGGGGTCACGTATGAGAACAGGAAGTTGAGGGCCACCGCCTCGATGGAGCCGTCCTCCCTGATCTGCTGCGCGATGGTGCGGACCCCGTCCTCGTCGAGCGGCACGTGGACCGTGCCGTCGGCCATGATCCTCTCGCTGACCTCGTAGCAATGCCGCCGCTTGACCAGCGGCTTCGGCTTGATCCAGGTGATGTCGTAGTGGCTGCGCCGGTTGCCCCGCTGGATGAAGGGGATGTCGCGAAAACCCTCGGTCGTCACGTAGGCCACCGTGGCGCCCTTGCGTTCCAGGATCGCGTTGGTCGCCACCGTGGTCCCGAGCCTGATGTTGCGGATGTCCGACGGTGCCTCGAAGTGCCCGAGACCGCCGAGGACGCCTTCGTTGGGGTCGTGCGGCGTGGACAGAATCTTCCACACGTCGATCGCCCTGGTCTTCGAATTGTAGCTCACGAAATCCGTGAACGTGCCGCCAACGTCGATACCGACCAGATAATCTGCCAACACCACTCTCCCGCACGTTAGGACGAGCGCCAACCCTCGCGGACCCGGCGGCTCGCCCATTCGATTGTGGCCCGGCCTCCCGATGACTCCGGGCGGCAGGATGTTATTGGGAGTGTGGCCCTGAGGCAACCGCGAGTCCTCGGCTCCGCGAGTCCTCGGCTCCGCGCCGCAATCGGGTTCACTCTCCTGCTCTCCCCGGCCCCCCAGCCGATCTACGGCTCCTCCATCCCGTCTCCCCTATGCCTTGACTTATGGGGGCTCATCACAGAAGGACGAGCCTCGGTCGGCAAGCGCAGGGAGTCGCCCCATGCATTGGTTTATCTCGCTCTCGCCATCGTGTTCGAGGTGGGCGGCACGACCTGCATGAAGCTGAGCGAGGGCCTGACCAAGCCGATCTTCGCGGCGCTGATCTTCGTTCTGTACGGGGTCAGCTTCGTGTTGTTCGCGCTCGCGCTCAAGAAGATCGATCTCGGCCTGTCGTACGCGATCTGGGCCGGCATCGGGACGGCGGCGATCGCCATGATCGGCTACATCTGGTTCAAGGAGCCGATGGGGCCGCTCAGGATCGGCTCCATCGTCCTCATCATCATCGGGGTGGTCGGGCTCAACGTGTCGCGCGGCGTCCAGTAGCCCGGATTTCTCGCCACGGTCGCGGTTCGGTTCCGCCGACCGCCTCGGGCAGAACTTAATCTTGAAGCGGGATTCGGCGGGATTAATTGGGATAAGTGGGATAAGTGGGATTCCGCAGGACAGGGCCGCGCACGCCCGCGCACCCCGCCTGCCGTGGTGATCCGCTCACTCTCGCGTTTCATGGCGCGATCCTGACGCAGAGGCGGCGCACCCTGCATCGCACCATGGTCCGGGTCGCGCGGCCCGAAAGTCGCGCGCTGCAAAGGTCGCGCACGCCGTCAGCGTCGTGCGCGTACAGAGTCTTGCGCTCCCGCGGCGCCGGCGGACTCGGGCTCAGCCGCCGAACACCGCCTCGAAGCTGCGCTGCAACGCGCGATCGACCTCGTCCATCGTGGCATCGACCCCGAGGGCTGCGAGCGAGGTGACGCCATGCTCGCGAATGCCGCAGGCGACGATGCCCCGGTAGTGGGCGAGGTCGGGGGCGACGTTGAGCGAGACACCGTGGAAGGTGACCCAGCGGCGGACCCGCACCCCGATCGCCGCGATCTTGGCCTCGCCGCCGTCGGCCGCGACCCAGATGCCGACGCGGCCCTCGCGCCGCAGGCCGACGACGCCGAAACGCGGCGAGCGTGTCGATCAGCCATTGTTCGAGGTCGCGGACGAAGCAGCGCAAGTCCATGCGCCCGCGCGCGCCAAGGTCGAGCATGACGTAGGCCACCCGCTGACCGGGGCCGTGGTAGGTGTACTGGCCGCCGCGGCCCGAGCGATAGACCGGGAGGCCCAGGGAATCGAGCAGGTCGTCGGCTCTCGCGCTCGTGCCGGCGGTATAGAGCGGCGGGTGCTCCAGCAGCCACACCCGCTCCGGCGCCTGGCGCGCAAGAATCGCAGCGACTCGCTCTTCCATGGCCTCGACGGCATCGGGATAGAGCACCGGTTCCGGCGCCACCGACCATTCGACCGCGTGCCGGGCAGCGGAGGCAGTGTGGCTGCGCGCGGGGCTAGGCGGTGCCATCGCTCCCCTCTTCGCCGCCGGGCTCCGCTGCCGGCGGCGGTGCTTCGCCCGACGCGACGGCGAGCCATTCGTCCTCGGTGAGCACGGCGACGCCGAGCGCTTCGGCCCGCTTCAGCTTGGACCCCGCTTCCTCGCCCGCCACCACGTAGTCGGTCGCCCGCGACACCGATCCCGCCACCTGGGCGCCCAGCGCCTCGGCGCGGGCCTTCGCCTCCTGCCGTGTCATCTGCTGCAGCTTGCCGGTGAAGACGACCGTCTTGCCGGCGACCGGCGAGTCGGCCGTGGGCGCCTCGAAGGGCTCGATGTCGAGGCGTTCGCAGAGGGCGTCGAGGATCGCGCCGTTGCGGGGTTCCGCGACGAACTCGACGATCGCCTGGGCAACCACCGGGCCGATCCCGTCGATATCGGTCAACGCCTCAAGACTCTCGCCTTCCGGCGCGGCGGCGGCCTCCATCGCCTCCCGCCAGTCGTCGACGGTGCGATAGCGGCGCGCGAGCAGACGCGCCGTCGTTTGACCGACGTGGCGGATTCCCAATGCATGGATGAAACGGTCGAGCGAGATGCGCCGGCGCGCCTCGATGGCGCGGAAGAGATTGGCGGCGGAGGTCTCGCCCCAGCCCTCGCGCTCGGCGAGCGGCGTGTGCGGATCGCCGTCCTTCTCCTCAATGTCGAAGATGTCCGCCGGGCTCTTCACGCGGCCTTCGGCCCAGAACGCCTCGATCTGCTTGGCGCCGAGGCCCTCGATGTCGAAGGCGTCGCGGGCGACGAAATGGCGCAGCCGCTCCAGCGCCTGGGCCGGGCAGATCAGACCGCCGGTGCAGCGGCGCACCGCTTCGCCCTCCTCCCGCACCGCGTGGCTGCCGCATTCCGGGCAGACGGCAGGCGGAACGAAGGGCTCGCTCCCGGCCGGCCGCTTTTCTTCGATCACCCGGACGACTTGCGGGATTACGTCGCCGGCGCGCTGGACGACGACCGTATCGCCGGCGCGGATGCCCCGTTCGGCGATCACGTCCTCGTTATGGAGCGTCGCGCGCGAGACGGTGACGCCGCCGACATACACCGGCTCGAGCTCCGCCACCGGCGTGAGCGCGCCGGTGCGCCCGACCGAGATCGAGATGCGGTGCAGCACGGTCTCGGCCTGCTCGGCCGGGAATTTGTAAGCGATGGCCCAGCGGGGCGCCCGTCCGGCGGCGCCCAGACGCTCCTGCCAGTCGAGGCGGTCGACCTTGAAGACGACACCGTCGATCTCGAAGTCGAGCGAGGGCCGCACAGCCTCGATCTCCCGATGGAGCGCACGCGCCTCGTCGAGGCCGGCGCAGCGCCGGGCGTGCGGGGCGAGCGCGAACCCCCACGCGGCGAGCCGCGCGAGGACATCGCCCTGCCGCTCCCCCAGCGCCTCGCTCACCTCGCCCCAGCCGTGGGCGAAGAAGCGCAGCCGGCGCTTTGCGGTGAGCGCCGTGTCAAGTTGTCGCAGGCCGCCGGAAGCGGTGTTGCGCGGATTGACGAATGCTTCCTCGCCTTCCGCCTCCCGTTCCCGGTTCAGCGCCGCGAAATCGGCGAGCCCTATGTAGACCTCGCCCCGGACTTCCAACCGCTCCGGCACGTCGGCGCCCGTCAGGGTGTGAGGCAGGTCGCGCAGCGTGCGCAGATTCTCTGTCACGTCCTCCCCGGTCTCGCCGTCGCCCCTGGTGGCGCCGAGGGCGAGCCTGCCCTCGTGGTAGTGCAGCGTCGCCGAGAGGCCGTCGATCTTGGGCTCGCCGTAGAGCACCACCGGCTCCTCCTCATCCAGATTGAGGAAGCGCCGGACCCGGCCCTCGAACTCGGCGAGGTCGTCGTCATTGAGAGCGTTGCCGAGCGAGAGCATGGGCCGGGTGTGGCGGACCTTGGCGAAGCTCGAGGCTGGCGGCGCGCCCACGCGGTCGCTCGGGCTGTCGGCGCGCTTCAGGTCGGGGAAGCGCGCTTCGATGGCCTCGTTGCGGCGCCGCAGCACGTCGTACTCGGCATCGCTCAGCTCGGGCGCGGAGCGGGTGTAGTAGAGCTCGTCGTGGCGCCTGATTTCCTGCGCCAGACGCGCCAGCTCGCGCTCCGCCGCATCGCGCGCGAGCGCCTCCGGCGGCGTGGCGTCGTCGCTCATCCCGTGCCTCGCGCGAGCAGGCTGTCGGCAGCCGCCCGCGCTTCCTCCGTGACCTTCGCGCCGGAGAGCATCCGCGCGATCTCTTCCCGCCGCTGGTCGTCGGTCAGCAACCGCACGCGAGCGGTAGCCCCCTGCTCTCCCTCGCTCTTGGCAACGCGATAGTGACGATCGCCGCGGGCGGCGACCTGGGGCGAATGGGTCACCACCAGGACCTGAACATCCCGCGCGAGCCGCGCCAGACGCTCGCCGACGGCATCGGCAACGGCGCCGCCGATGCCGCGGTCGATCTCGTCGAAGACCAGGGTCGAAAGGCCGGCGGCGCGCGCGAGGCAGACCCTGAGCGCGAGCAACAGCCGCGCCCTCTCACCGCCCGAGGCAACCTTCGCGAGCGGTAGCGAATCCGCGCCGGGGTCGGTGGCCAGCATGAAGCGGCAACGGTCGATGCCCGTTCTGCTCTCCGCCCCCTCCGCTGCCGGGGCGAGCGCCGTGCTGAAGCGCGCGCGGCCGAATTTCAGCGGGCCGAGCTCTGCGGCCACTGCTTCATCCAGCTTGCGCGCCGCGCGCCGGCGGGCGCGGCTCACTTCCTGAGCCTTGTCGAGATAAACCTGTCGCGACGCCTCGGTCGCCGCAGCGCGCGCGGTGAGGCGGTCGGCGCCGCCTTCGATCAGGTCGAGCTCGCCGCGCAGCTTCGTCAGCAGCGGGACCAGGGAATCGGGGTCGGTACGATGCTTGCGCGCGGCTGCGCGGAGCGAGAAGAGGCGCTCCTCGACCGCTTCGAGCCGGCTTGGCCCGGTATCGAGAGCATCCTGCGCCGCGCTCAACGCGCCCTCTGCCTCCTCCGCCTCGATCGCCGCGCGATCCAGGGCCTCCAATAGCGAATCCAGTGCGCCGCCGGCGAGCGGCGCGGCGCGCTCGATCGCACGCCGGGCCGATCTGAGGCGCGCGCCGACTCCACCGTCGGCAGCGATCTCGCTCGACGCCGCGTTCAGTGCCTCGCCGAGCTTCTCGCTGTTTTGCAAGGTCGCGCGTTCGGCGGCGCGGCGTGCGGCCTCGCCGCCTTCCGGCGCGAGCGCCTCCAACTCGGAGACCGCGTGCCGCAAGTAGTCTTCCTCCTTGCGCGACGCTTCGTGTGCGGCCTCCGCCTCCTCAAGCGCGGATTGGGCGGCACGCCATGCCGCGTGGGCCGCCGCCAGGCTCTCCCGCTCGGGCCCGTGACCGGCAAACTCATCCAGCATGGTGAGGTGCCTCGCCTGGTCCAGCAATCCGCCCTGATCCGTCTGACCTTCGATCTCCACCAGCAGGTTGCCGATGCGCCTGAGCAGGGCGACGCCGGTCGGTGTGTCGTTGACGAAGGCACGGCTGCGCCCATCGGAACCGACAACGCGGCGCAGCAAGAGCTCGCCACCATGGTCGAGATCGTGCTCGGCCAGCAAAGTCCGAACCGCATCGGCTTGCCCGACGTCGAAGACAGCAGCAACGCTGGCGCGGTCGCTGCCGCGCGCCACGACGCCGGACGCAGCGCGTTCGCCCAGCGCGAGTCCGAGTGCATCCAGCAGGATGGATTTACCGGCACCGGTCTCGCCGGTGAAGACTGCCATGCCCGCGCCGAGATCGATATCCAGGCTGCTTATCAGAACGTAATTGCGGATCGAGAGGCGTCGAAGCATCTGCCCCGCGTCAGAGCAGATCGCCGAAGACGCGGCTTATCCAGGATTCTTCGTCCGCCTCGGGCTTCAGGTCGGAATCGACGAGCAGGGCGTAGCTGTGCTGGTACCAGCGGCTGCCCGGGTAATTGTGGCCGAGAACCGCGGCCGCAGTCTGCGCCTCGCCCGAGACCCCTAGCGCCAGGTACGCTTCGGTCAGGCGATGCAGCGCCTCCGCCGCGTGGCTCGTGGTCTGGTAGAGCTCGACGACCTTGCGAAAGCGTCCGATCGCCGCGACGGGGTTTCCGCGCCGGAGGTAGTAGCGTCCGACAGTCATCTCCTTTCCGGCGAGATGATCGCGCGTCAGATCGATCTTGAGGCGGGCATCGCGCGCATATGTGCTGCCGGGGAAGCGGCGCACCACCTCCTCAAGCGCCTGCAGCGCAAGTGCCGTCGTCCTCTGATCGCGGCCCACGTCGGAGATCTGCTCGTAATAGGACATGGCGATCAGGAAGTAACCGTAGGCGGCGTCGCGATTTCCGGGATGCAGCTCGATGAACCGGCCCGCCGCGGCGATGGCGTCGTCGTAGCGGTTGCTCTGATAGTAGACAAACGCCGACATGATCTGCGCCCGCGTCGCCCATACCGAATAGGGGTGCTGGCGCTCCACCTCGGCGAAGTCGGCCACCGCAGCCTCGAAGTCTTCATCCAACAGGCTGTCCATCGCCTCGTTGTAGAGCTCCTCGACCGGACGCTCGACATAGGGCTCTTCGCCCGGCGCACATCCGACGAGCAGCGCCAACACCAGCCCAACTGTTGCGGCCAGCGCCACCGGCGCGGTGGGAATTGTGGAAAGCGTACGCTTCATGACTGGTCCTGCCCGTTAAGCTCAGCCGCCTGTTCGGGCAGCTCATCGATGCGTTCCTGCCCCGCGGCCTCCTCGGCGGCAGCAGCGGCGGCGGCCGCGATCCGCTCCACCCGTTCCTCCTCCAGCGCTGCCACCAGATCCCGCGTGATCTGCGGGGCCATGGACAGCCCATTCTCCCGCAAGAACCGCCGTGTCGCCTTGATGGTAAGCTCGCCGGCGACTCCATCGACCGCCGCATCATAGTATCCCAGCGACTTGAGAAGCCTCTGCGCGTAGATGGCGGAATCCCCGAAGCCGTTTGCCGGCCTCGGCATAGCGACGCCGAAAGCAGGTATATTGGGCACGTTTTCGGCATAGGCCCGGGCCGCGATCTCGATGCTCAATGCTTCGGCCTCGGCGCGCTCAGCCGGCGACATGAGGCGCGAGAGCCGATCGCGGTAGGTCATCGCATCTGCACCGGCTGAGCCTTTCGCATGGGCAGCGAGGTTGAACCAGGCCATTGCCTGGGCGAGATTGCGCTCGACGCCGAGTCCGTTCGCATAGAGCAAGCCGAGGCCGTTCCGACCCACTGCGTCGCCCTGTTCGGCGGCCGCCTTGTACCAGCGATAGGACTGCTCGAAGTCGCGCGTTACGCCGCGGCCGAGATAGTGAAGCGCCGCCAGATTGCTCTGCGCGATCGCGAGGCCCTTGCGTGCGGCGCGGCGATACCAGACGACCGCCTTGCCGTAATCCCTCGCCCCCGTCAGGCCCTTCTCGTAGATATACCCGAGATTGTTCATGGCCCGGGCCTCGCCGGCGTCGGCAGCACGCATGTACCAGTCTTGCGCCCGCTCGATATCGCGCGGCGTCCCCAGCCCTTCGTCGTAGAGCGTCGCCAGGTTGTACTGGGCGTCGGTCAGGCCCTGCTCGGCCGCGCGCTGATACCAGCCCGCCGCGGTCGCGTGATTCTGGGTAACGCCGAGCCCGAGGTCATAGGCCACGCCGAGCTCGAACTGGGCCTCGGCCAAGCCGCGGCGCGCGGCGGTTTCCAGGAGCTTGATCTGGTCCTCGTCCGGGTCGGGCTCGAGCGCACCGATGCGCTGCAGCCGCGCCAATGCGAGCCGGGCGAGGTCGAGGCGGCGGGCCGCCGCAACCCGGTACCAGCGCGCCGCCTTCTCGGCGTCTTCCGACACGCCCAATCCGTTCTCGTAGAGTGTGCCGAGATTGAACTGCGCGTCGACATCGCCGGCGTGGGCGAGCTTGGACCAGGCCGCGCGCGCCTCGTCGTAGTCGCCACGTTGAAACGCCTCGTAGGCCTCGAAGAAGTCCGCGCCCTTTGCCTGCGGCGCGGCGAGAGCGGCCATGCAAAGCGCCGCCGCACCCACTGTGGCAGCAAACGCGGTCACCCGGAACTCTCGCAAGGAGACGCGGTTCATGCCGTCGGCGGAACCCGATCGTTGCGGCGCGGCGCGCGGCGCCGCAGCCCCTGCCTCACCTTGCATGCCTGTACGCGATCGTCAATAAACTGTTGCATGCGGCTGCAAATATTCCAGGTCGATGCGTTCACCGATACGGTGTTCGGCGGCAATCCCGCTGCCGTCTGCCCGTTGGATTCCTGGCTCGACGATGCCACGCTGCAGGCCATCGCGTACGAGAACAACCTGTCGGAGACCGCGTTCTTGGTGCCCGCCAACGGCGCCTACGCCTTGCGCTGGTTCACGCCGCTGGCCGAGGTCGATCTGTGCGGCCATGCGACCCTCGCCAGCGCCCACGTCGTGTTTCATCATTTGCGGCCGGATGCCGATTCGGTCGCTTTCGATACCAGGAGCGGGCGGCTCGATGTGGCCCGCGACGAGGACGGCCTGACCATGGATTTCCCGGCGCTCGCGGCGGACCCCGTGGAAACGCCGGCCGATCTCTCCGCAGGCCTCGGCGCGGCACCCGTGGCCGTCTTCGCCGACATGGACTACCTCGCGCTCTTCGAGACCGAAGCCCAGATCAGGGCGATCGCGCCCGACATGGCGGCGCTGGCGCGGCTCGACGAGCGGCGCGGGGTCATCGTGACCGCGCCGGGCGAGAGCGCGGACTTCGTCTCACGGTTCTTCTGCCCCCAGACTCGGGGTTCCCGAAGACCCGGTCACCGGGTCGCCCACTGCATGCTTGCTCCTTCTGGGGCGAGCGCCTGGGCAAGACCGCCATGCACGCCCACCAGGTTTCGGCACGCGGCGGGGTGGTGCACTGCACGGTCGCCGGCGAGCGTGTGCGACTTGCCGGACGCGCCGTTCAGTACCTCGAAGGGACAATCACGGTTTGAGCCCGAGAGGCCGCACCGGGCCGTACCGCGCATGAAGCCCGCCCGTCCGTCCCGACACCCCCTCTTCTCCTCCGGGCGTGCCCAAGCGGCCCGGATGGGTCGGTGGACGTCCTCTCGGGGAGCGCTGCTCGGCAGGTCCCATCGGGGGCGCGAGCCGTGGCGCGCATCCAGGAGCTGCTGGAGCGATCGCGCGCGCTTCTCGGGCTGCCGGACGAGTGGCGGATCGGAATCGTTCCAGGCTCCGACACCGGCGCCATCGAGATGGCCATGTGGTCGCTCGGCTCGGCCCGCGCGGGGTGGACTTCCTGAGCTGGGACAAATTCGGGGCGCTTTGGGCGCACGACGGCGCCCGCGAGCTGGCCCCTGGACGCAGCGCGGATCGATGCGCCTTACGGCCGCCTGCCGACTCGCGCAGGTCGATCCCGACCGCGACACGGTTTTCGTCTGGAACGGCACCACCTCGGGCGTGCGGGTGCCCGATGCGGAGTGGATCGCCGCCGATCGCGCGGGGCTCACGCTCTGCGACGCCACCTCCGCCGTCCTCGCCTATCCGATGGACTGGACCAGGCTCGATGCGACCAGCTACTCCTGGCAGAAGGTCTTGGGCGGCGAGGCCGGGTTCGGCATGCTGATCTCGGCCCGCGCGCGGTGGCGCGGCTGGAGAGCGAAGACGCCGCCCTGGGCCGGTGCCCAGAGTCTTCCGCCTCACCACCGGGGACGGCAAGCTCAACGAGGGCATCTTCCGGGCGAGACCATCAACACGGTCTCGATGATGGCGGTCGAAGACACGCTCGACGCGCTCCGCTGGATCGAATCGATCAGCGGCCAGACGCATGATCGCGCGGGAACCACGACGCGCACAATCGCGGCGTCATCGAGTCGCGGCGCGACTGGAGTCGACGTCGCTTCGCCAAGTGCACGGAGACGCGCTCCACACACTCGGTAAGCGCATCAGTATCGGCGATCCCTGGTCAGCGATCGGGGCTTGAGACGGACGATCAATGGACCGTGATCAAGCGGATGGACGCATGCTGGAGGCGGAAGGCGCCGCGTATGCTATCAAGCCCACACGGGCCGCACCGCGGGGCTTCGTATTAGGTGCGGGCGTCGGCACGGTGATGCAGGCCACGACCTAGAGTAAGCATGACCCGTGGCTCGACTGGGCCTGGGATGAGGGCGCGGGCAGGGGGCGGACTAGGCCGCAAGACGCAGGTGCAGGGAGCGATGCCGAA